TCATTTCTTAATGCTGGGTAACTGAGAACATATACAAAAGATACAAAATCCATTCTGACCAAGAATGCTTCCCATCAAGAGTTGTAAAACTTGTTACCAACATTTTTGGAAATTATCTTTTAAATTTAACATTTAACAATACATATACTTTTTAATCTAAAGGAGAATTTTAGAAGTTTCCAAGGAATCAATTTCTCACCAATTCAGTAAACCATTATACCATTAATCTTTTATTTTTCATGGTACACATCAGTATTTTACAGAAAAAAAAAGAACCCGATGTTAAATTCCAATTAATTACATTCTCTTCTGACTCTTTCTTGTTTATGTACATAAACAGTAAATATAATTTATGTTCTAACACTTTGAGTCTCGTTGAAACATTTTTCCATACAATTTTACATATATGATTATTTAATGGCTACATGTTTTTGATAGCAATAGCAATACATGAATTTTACTTATACATTTCTCAATTATTAGGATTTTTTAAAATCTCAAATGGATGGAATTACTAGAAATATCTTTAAACAAGTAGTTTTTTTCTTTTATCTTCCTGGATATATGCTTCTCAAAGTAGGTTAGATCTATCAAAAGATAGATTGGTTTTAGAGCTCTTATTATAGTTTTCTAAATAGTTCTTTAAAAAAAAACTACTAATATACAATGCTGCTGGAACAAGGAAACATGTAGTGGAAAAATTTTTGCTACTAGCATGAACTAGGTCAAAGTTGTTTCAACTTGCATTTTTAATATTAGGAAATCTGAGTATCATTCTAAGGATTTACTTTTATTTGTATTTTCTCATTTGTGCCAATCCTTTTAATAAACTTGCCTAATAAAAAGTAGAAAACTTTATGGATTAGCATCTCCCTTTAAAAAAAAATATTAAGCATTTAATCTATATATAATGCAAGTACCTTTTTCTAATCTGGTCTCTTCTTTGCCTTCTATTTAGTACATTTTTAATTTTTTTTAGTCAATCTCATCTATTTAATCTTTTTCATTGCCATAACATTTCCTTTGTGCCATTATTGGAATGAGAATTGTAGTGTCTTTATTTTTAGCTTGATACTTAACATTTTAATTCATCATCTGGAATGAATTATTATATAATTTGGATCTCATTTCTTTTTTCATACTGATAGTCAGCTAATCTTTCCCCTGGTAGTTATTGTGGATTTCTTTCCAATTGGCTTACTAGTCTTAGTTCAACTTTCTACTTGGTACACAGTACATTCAGAAAGTCTGCTTAATAGCACATTTTAAGGATTTGAAGTAAAAGACTCCCTTTTTTCTCAAGTTAAAAAGACCTATCTTTCCTTGCTTATTTTCCTAAATAACTGATCACAATTCTGTCAAGTTCTCTAAAGCTTCCAGTTGGAATGTTAAGTGGCGCTGTAGTAACTCTACACACTAATGGCACCCACTCCCATTCCTTTGGACATTTCATGTACATTAATTTAATCCTCAGAATAATTCTGCAAAGAATTATTTCTATTTTATAGATTATGAAATTGAAGCTTAGAGTGATTTTTCCCAAGATTATACAACTGGCGAGTAGTATAGTGATGGCTCTAAGTTTGGTTTTCAGACTCCCTATTTCCTTCTTTTCCATTACATTAGGGTGTAGTTCCTTCAGCCTGCTTCTATATGAGCATCTTTCTTAATCTATCCCAATATAGTTTTATAACACTTTATATTTTAGCTTGTCACTGCTGAAATCTAGAAATGAGATTAATTTTTTAAAGACTGTATATTCCGCAACTCCCTGAGTTAGTCTTTTATTGTCAGTATGTTTATATATTATAGATTTCACTAGATACAAAGTCATGTTTTAGAAAATGCGCCACTTTCTTTCCTCATCTTTCCCATTCAGTGACTGCTCATTAAGATTTTATTACAAGCTCCTTCAACGATATGTAAATAGTGTCAAGACTGTTTATTTTCTGGTTGAGAAATGTTTTCTTTATATTTGCCTAATAGGAATGATTTCAGTTCTTGGTTTTAAGAAATTATTTATCACACTCTGAGAAACCAATACAATCCTTACCAGAGATAATTAAGTCAAAGATGAATGATGTTATTCAGATTTTTAAAGTTATCTGTAATTTGAATTTTTTACTATTTTGCTCTGTTGAACACTGGCATTATAATCCTGAGTCATAGAAATAGTTACAGGCACACTTCAGAGATATTGTGGATTCAGTTATACAATAAAGTGAATATTGCAATAAAGTCAAGTCACATGAATTTTTTGGTTTTTCCAGTGCATATCAAAGCATGTTTACATTATACTACAGTCTATTAAGTGTGCACAGCATTATGTCTAAAAAAAATTACTTAATTGCTAAAAAATGCAAATCCTTATCTTTTTGCTGGTGGAGGGTCACTTTCAATTTGTAAAAAAAAAAAAAAAAAAAAAAGGAACATCTACAAAGTGCCATAAAGCAAAGTGCAATAAAATGAGGTATGCCTACATTTTATTTGTTGTGTATTATTTGACTATATTTTCCATTTTGCATCTGTTCAGAATTAGACCCTTTTCAAAATGTTTGACTTCTAGTATTAAGGCCATATTTACCTCAAAATGCAAAAATTAGCATATCATCATTCATGATAAATATATTACTTACTCTTCGAACATTTGAAAAAGTACACTAAGAAGCCCATTAGGGTAAGATTCTAACTCATCAGAAAACTATACTAGGCTACAGTATCCCCTGATTTTTAAGGCTTTTTTTTTTGTTATAACTTTTCTCATTTCTGATTTTGTATTCGTTTTTAAAACCACCCTTATTTTGGACTAGTTTAACACTTCTTTTCTGTTTCTACTACATCTAGCTCCACCATTTTTTGCAACTTCTGTTTCTTTTCTCAAATTCTCATTATATTCATATTGAAACTGAATTTTTTTTTTCAATAGGTCTGGATTACCTTCACCTCCATTTTATTTTTCATCTTATATTCTTTTTTTAACTTTAATGACTAATTCTTAGGTCTATTTTTGGTATTTTGGCTGGATATAAACTTTAGGGTCCGTCCAATAATACTTTACTATATTAAAAAAGCTATAAAAATATTAATACCAAATTATGACTTCTCTACTTTCAGTAAGGTGTAAATTACTTAAATCTTTCTTGTTTCATTTTCCTCACACATACAAGAGCAACAAAAGACTATTCAGAGCATATTTTGGCTTAGTACATCTGTATTTTTTTATGACACCATGTTCAGATCAAAAAATACATTAAGCAGCATTATTTTGTTAAAACTTAGCCAAATTCTGTTTCTGAGTACACAGCTCAAAGCTACATTTATTTTTAATTTATATTTTAAAATATATTTATGGATTTTAGAGAGGGAGGGAGAGAAACATTGATGTGAGAAACATCTGTTGCCTCTCATATGCACCCCAACCGGGGATAGAACTCTCAACCTTTTGGTATGCAGACGATGCTCCAGCTGAGCCACACCAGCCAGGGCTTACTCAATCTTCACATTTGTCTACTTCAATAAGAAGCTGGAGACCAATTACTGTCAAGTTTTCTTCACCAGCAGCACTAGACTGCCTTTCATGTGCAATTTTCTTCTACCACAGTACCTGCACTCTTCTACCAGTTAACGTTAGGGGGAAGACTTGGAGATCATTAAAGCCCGGATTCCAATGTTGCCTCTTCTCCATGCCAGACTCTTGAGCAAATTACGAATTGTCTTTATTTCCTCTTTGAAAACGTATTCAATAACTTCTGCCTCTCAGGTTCAGAAACCTTAATGGGAGAGCATAGTAAGAGCCCAGGTCATAGTAAACACTCATTTGCCAAACAAAAACTCACTGAAGGGCTCTCTCCCTACAGGATTACCTGTCTCTGACTGAGGAACACAAAAGGGACTAACAGGAAAGGATGTTTACCTCCTTGGGCAGCTCCACAGGCTTTCACTGCTGCAATAACATCATCAGATTTATGACTTCTGGTGGTTCTGGAAACAAATACAGAATTCTATCCTCTGCATAGGTAACAGCTAAGAGGCCGGAGTGATTATGAAGGTGGTTACTCAACATGTGTGAGACAGGACACAACGGAAGGGACATGGTAAGTAAATCCTTAGATTCACTCCTGTCAGTTGTAGTTAGTGCTGCTAACGACAGCGGTACAGCCAACGAGGAGGAACGCTCACCCGCACTGAGAAGCTTGGGGAGGCAACTCCAGGTTAAAGCTGACTCCCTTGGTTTCTCCTTAGGAATTTCAGAACAGTCATTCTGAAGTGCCTTTTTCCTGGGGCAATTTATCTTTTCTTTTGGCCTCAGTTACTGTTGGGATATTCTTTTCTTTCAGGTGCCAGTGCAGGGTTCTGCAGAAATTTTCTGAAGTATTAAACCAAAACTAATCTTATCCCCTAGATTTTCTTTGGACCAAACCTCCCAAGAATGAGCTCTTCAACAAGTAAGGGAACTCTCTGGCACTTTTTCTGAAGTACAAGATTGTGGTGGTGATGTTGCCTCATGGGTTAAAGGGTCAAATAGGAGAATTCAAGAGTAACACATAAACATCAGACCTTCACAAATAAAGATCATGCAAAGCTAATCTTTTAATCCGACAAAATGTATTTTATATTGGCACTTGCATTAGTTGCTATTGCTACCGTGTATATATATTATTTACAAAAGACCCACATAATCTATTGTGTGTTTTATTCAGAGGTGGTAGAAACTGTAATAGCTGCAAAGTAAAATATTCCTTAGATACTGTCACTGTAGACAATAACACCTGAAGATCATTAGCATATACAATACGACCTTCCTTTAAGCACAGTGGCTAATATGGAACTGTCACATAAATACCCAATTCTAAAATAAAGCTAACTCTGTTTAAGATTCTGTATCATGGAGTACATTCTGAAACAAACAGTCCAATAACTAATAAATCAGTTACTTATAGGTTAACAAAGATATCTCTTTGTTAAGTCAACATCTTAAAGTCAACATCTGCATAGCATTCATCATATAACCCCTCTAATTATGCATATAAGAAACTGTCCTTTAAATGAGAGTATTCTGATGCTAGGATGAAGGCCCAAAATAGCACTTCCAGTTTCCTTTTTCCTAATTTTGAAGGTCCTTCCCTGGGCCTTCTAGGTTTTTGGTTCCTTCAGAGAACTCTGGTTTGGCCATTATTGCATTATTGGCTCCAGAGGCCTCTGGTTGCTTGTCGTCACCATCATAAATAATGTCTTCTGGATTTGGAGGTGGGGGGCAGAATTCTTCTCCTGGAAAGATCTCCTGGAAAAGCGTTTCGGCCTGCCTGACCGCATGCTCATTTCCCAGTCCACAGTCAGGCCCGGAGCAGACATAAACATTGGGAGGTAAGCCATTATATGAGCTCCTGCCGATTCCTGAGGAATCTCTCATATTAAAATAAAGGGCCCACAAGAGTCTTGGCTTCGTAAGTTCTTCCTTGTCCATTTCTGCTTCTACATAGGGGGTGAACAATTGCTTCACCACTGATTCTAAGTCTTCTCTTGCTGTTTTAGAAGATGAACAGGTCAGATGGACCAGATAGGTACCTTTCATGCATGTCATGGTTGAAGAACATAATTCAGTGACCCGAACAGCGCATGCTCCTGGGTCCACCGGAGGCACTGTCAAAACAGAAATCTGCTGGTCTGAGTCTGTTTTTAGTACAGATCGATCTGTAATGAGCACCGCTCTGGAGATCTGCTTATATTGCACATTCGAGCATGTTTCCTCAGAGAGGCAACTGTCCTCCACAATAAAATACTTAGCATTTATCCTTTGACCTAAGTGATCTATAATGGCTTTACACCTTCCAGATTCTTTGTCAACCACAAGGCATTGTGCTTTATGGCGAAGACAATAAATTCCACCAAAAACTGCACACATTCTGCAGAAACACTGGGGAATTTCTCCTTGGCCATACAAAGGAAATAAAAACGGAGTGTTGCCAAACCGTCCAAGACACCGAAGGAAGTTTTTTGTTGCTTTAAGGCCATCTATTGTAGTGCTGGATGACTCCGTCATTGCAATTGAGTGTAGTATAAAATGTTGGAGGTTGGGGGTTAGATTTTTAGTTTTTAAGTACTCTGCAAATGAGCACTGTATGAACTCTTGGTATTCATCAGGATGTTGTTCATAGTCTACACAAAATGTAAGAAACTTCATTAGCATCCTCTTTTCTACCATACTGAGTTCTTTGCTATTGAAGACATCTGCTCTGGAACAAGGCACCTGTTCTACTTTTCCTTCTCGAAATGCAAGAATCCTAGTGACGTTTTTAAATTCAGCATAACGACTAACATTTGATTTGATTAAAAGATCAATCAGCAATCCTTGAGAATACAGCAACTTTGATACCAAGTCAATATTAAACCTCCTGCCTTCTTTAACTATTTGAGAGTACGTAATCCTAGTTCTCTTTGGTTGATCAGTGCTGTCTTCGACTATAGGTTTGTTTTTGTCTTTATCTCTGTCTGAAATTGTGTGTATAGAAGTTTTATCTCCACAATATTTTTCTTTTGTCTGAGTTTCCCTTATATCAGTTACTTCTGGTAAGATTTCGCCCCCGTTGTTTGGAGCGTCTTTGGCAGGCATTTCGAAGCTGGTAACATATGAGTGTGTTTCTTGAGTCAGGCATGCAGGGTCCAAAGGGTTAGCGGGGGTACTAGATGCTGCAAAGGAAGGGTTTTCCCGCAAAGCATCATCTTCTTCAATATTGTCACCCATATCCTGACTGGCATAACAAAACACTTCCGTGTGCTGAATGGTGTCATCCTTCCTACAGAGAGTGACAGCTCCTTCTGTTTCCTGGATCAGGTCTTGCCACACGGCAGTGCTCCTGTCCCCAACGTCTCTGCTTTGCTGATACTCCTTCAACCAGGAGAGCAAGCTGGAAAAGCTGAAACTAGCCCAGTTTCCTCCATAGTAACTTCTTGAATCAATATGCAGAACTCTCTGACCACTTCTTGCACATGCGGCTGCAAGGATGGATTCAGGCAAACCTGTCCCTATAATGACTACATCAAACTCTGTGGGAAGACTGTCTGCCATTCTGGAAGGGAGAGTGTCTGGTGACAGCTGCCAATGAAGGAAATGCGTATGAATCCGGGCTGAGGGCTCAGGTGAGGTGTAAATATGCTGTAATAAAATCTCTCCTTGTGATGTTCCAGATCGTCCCAGAAGTACCGAGGTTGCAGGTCCTAGCTGTGCTGTTACCTTTTTAGTGTGTTTTTTTCCTTATAGGTCAGTAGCATAAAAACATGACCAAGGACATCTAATCATATCTGAGAATAATAAAACGGATGGGTGGTTTTCGTTTCTGCATTTCATCTTAGCAGTAAATGTCAAAATGCATCACATGCATTTGTGACTGGAACTTTTCTGTGAAAGAAAATTTAAGAAATAATACAATTGTAAACAATATTAGGAAAAAAGTAATTTCATGCAACAGTAATTACAATTCATTACAGCCTGACTTGTTATTAAGACAAAAGCCTCTACTAAAGCAAGTCATTAAATGCTTCCTCACATATTTCCTAATTTCTTAGAAATGAGTGACACAGACATACTCCCCCAAACCAGGCAATTCAATAATGAAGAATGGACATAATAATGTCCTACAATAATAGACACCTAACACAATACAATTCTGTAACTCTTGCTTTTAATAAAACTAGTATTTTCAAACAGCATAGTATTTGAATAAAACTATACACAATGGTGAGCTTAGACTATAAGAAATGTGTGGCTCCACTGTGTCTATGGAAACAGGCTATTTGTGACGTGCACATTGTCACGACTAGGAATATTCCAGGGCCCAGTGCAGCCTGTGGGCGATTCTAGGACAGCTGCATAGAAGACTTTGCCACACCCCATCCACCCTTAGGATCTTGTCGTGGAAACAGGAGACTATTTCAACTAAATTAACCAGATTACCACAAAACCATTGATTCAGTAAAACAACAGGGATTTTAAAATATTTAAGTGCATAAAAGAATAGGTCTACTGAAGGGAAAATGTATTTATAACAAATCTTTATACATTATGGATGTACCTGTGCGTGTGCATTTTTAGGTATAAGTTAAAAAGGAAAACCCCTGGGTTCATACGTTAAAATGTCTTAACCTAAATAACACCTACTTCTAATACCTGAATAGGATGACTTGCATTTTTGTCAGACTCTGGCTCTATGACCCTGCATCTCTGTCTTCCAAGATGAAGGCCTAAATATCCTTTGCCTAGATTAACATGTTGTTTGCTGTTCCTGCTTTTGAAGGGGTAGGAAGCGGTAGTGACAAAAGGCTCTCCTGTTAACTGTGGGCATAACACCGGTTATATTCCACGTGTAGGAGACCTGTGTGGCACGGGGCGGGGGGGGGGGGGCAACCAAATGGATGAAAAACATACTCACCGAGACGTCTTCAGTCTAAAGAACGACACATGCTAGGGGGACCTGTTATCATTCATCCCTGCACAGTAAGACTGACAGCTCTTTGAGCTCTGATCTCCCCCAATATTAAACTCACTAAAATCTAGACCAGTAAAATCTGGGCTGCCTGGGCTGAGATGACTAATTATCTTGGATATCTGTAAAACAAGCCATTCAGCTGGAACTTAAATCAACTGAAATTGATTTAACTGGCCAGTTTCAGCGACATGACTTTCGTAACAGTCCTTTCCAGTCCAAGCCTCTGCCCCAAGAGCGTCAGGGAATCCGCTTGCTCCCAGCATTCCCTGGGAAACCAGGAATTGAGCACAGAGCGAAGTGGTCGCCTGACGCTCTCATGTATGTGTAAGTGTGTCTCAGTTACTTAGATTGCCTTTTTCCAGTAGGGTCTGCAGAAGACAAAACGCATGAGGGTCTATGAAGAAGTATGAGCAAAGTATGTGCTTGTCCTTGAATAAGAGGGGGAAAGACCTGTGGGTGGGAATAAGAGCTGAGGATACAAGCCACAAGTGCTAAAATCAAATACCTTCTAACCTACAACTATCAAAGGAGTCCTCAAAGTACACAGCAAGTAGGACAAGGCAGCCTTAAAGATGACTTAGCTCAGTTATCCCATAATAGAGATGTTATGATGGCTGAAGGGATTAAGTGGTGGCCAAGTCCTCACGATGGCTTAGCCACGGGGTCAGAAGGAGGACCCACTCCCATGCCATCGAGCCAGCAGTCTTTCCACAAGATAGGGCAGCCTCTCCAGAGGCCTCCGAAGCAGGCAGCCACTTTTTTTAACCACCTGCCCCCTTCAGTGCTCCATGACTGGCTAGTTCTTACTCAGGGGTAACCAAGGGAAAATGAGCCTCCCTTTCCCCATCTTTAACTCTTATCTAGAAGCACAATCCTCAGCACTGGTTCCAGGCAAAGAAATTCTTAATCTTTACTAAGAATTTTTTAAACTCCATCCTAACACCACCACTGCCTTATCTCCCGGGGCTTAAACAAGTCCCTTAACCCGCTTACCCCAGAGTCTTCACCTCTAATTCACAAGCGGCAATCATTGAAAACACTAACTAAATGTCCAGAGAAATCAAGCAGTCATCGGGGAAAATGCCACGTGGTGAACATGTCTAGCAGCCGTGGAATATCTGTCCCTCTGACAGGGACGGTGTCCACTGTAGGGATGACTTAGACTAAAAAGGGATGGCAGAGACAGGGAGACGCAGCAGGGTGCCGTCCCTAGCACAGAAAAAGCACTTCTTATAAATTAGAACTTTCATGTCTGTGACCAAATACCTATTGCTCATCCTACACCTTGGGCTTCACCTTGAGTTGCCCTCTTTTAAAGCTTAGCCTTCAAATGGTAATGGGGAAAAAAAATACAATAAATATTAAATAAAAAAAAAAAAAAGCTTAGCCCTGCCTAAAAAATTGCCTGATAGGTATTTTACATTAACATAGAGAGTAATCACATAGGCATCTATACCACTACCTAGATACGCTTAAGCCCCTCCCCCCAAGTTTTAACTCTTTGTGCAGATGAAATTCTCAGACTAAGGCTTATCAGGAAAGGTAGTATTCGAATAATAAAATCACCGAAGAAATCAAAACAGATGGAATCATGATTTCTCTGTTTCCTTTGAAATATCAAAAGATGAAACATAACACATATAACGTTTCAGTTTGTCAAAAAAAGAGGTTGTAAATAGGAAATTTTGATACTACTACAAAGATTTTGTTCTCAAAAAAACCGGCCAACTTCGCCCAGCCTTCCAGAAAAGACAGCCTTGGTGGAGGTACTCATGGAGCCCGGGGTGCTCTGGAGCAGCGTTGCTGTGTGGACGCAAGGGGCTTCCGCAGATATAAAGACACTGTGCGTGAGGCTGGTTTTGGGGGTCAAGTGCTTCCTCCTGTCTGTCCTACTCAATGCAACCAAAATCCTGGGCAGAATACCTGGAGCATCTATCTGGTAGCAGGGCACTCAGAGAAGGAAACCAGAACTTCTAGTACCACTGAACATAAAACAAATCTTAAGAAATTTATAACAGCAGTGTGCTCTAATTATAATGGGATTAAATTACAAAGCAACAAAAAATAACAGGACAACCTCCAAATACTTGAAAGTGAAAGAACACACTTCTTGATGAGGAAGAAAAGAACTCCCAGAGGAAAATGGAACTATTTTGAATTGAACAACAATGAAAATATAACAAAATATGATATTGCTTAGAAGAGAACAATCTAAAATCAATCTAAGCTTCCATTTTAAGAAATTAGAAAATAATAAAGAAGTGACACCAATTCTATACAAACTTTTCCAGAAAACTGAAGAGGAATGAACATTTGCAGTCATAAGACCAGCATTACTCTAGTAACAAAACCAGAAAAGGCCATTAAAAGAAAATTAAGACCAATGTCCCTCATGAACGTAGAAGTAAAGATTCTAAGCCAAATTTCTGGAAATAGATTCCAACAACATATAGAAAGAAAAATATGTCGTAACTAAGTAGCACTTATCCCAAGAATTCAAGATTGCTTTAATATTCAAAGCTAAGTATAATTTACCATGAGATCATCTCAATAAAGGCAGAAAATGCTTTTGACAAAATCTCCTTATAAAAACTCTCAGCAAGCTAGGAAGAGAAGGAAACTCCTCAACCTGATAATGGACACCTCTCAAAACCAATATACAAGCCAAAATAATCTTGAAAAAGAGCAAAGAGGACTCACACTTCCTGATATAAAAACTTACTACAAAACTACAGTTAACAAAACAGTGTGGTACTTTCATAAGTATGGATGTATAGATCAAAAGAATAGAATACAGAGCCCAGAAATAAATTTTCACATATCTAGTCCATTGATTTCTGACAAGGGTGCCCAAAACATTCAACAGTGAAGGATGGTCTTTTCAATAAACGATTCTGGGAAAACCGGATATCCATGTGCAAAAGACTGAAGTTGGACCCTTACTTTCCACCATATATAAAAATTAATTCAAAATAGATCAAGCCTATGCTACAAATCGTGGCTTTATCTTTATCAAAGTATACCAATATTTTCCTGGAGTAAAAAACCTCTATAAAGTTTCTAGGACAAAGAATGTATGATATTTTTAATTGAGCCAAGCAATTGCCCTCAAAAAAACAAAAACAAAAAAAAACTTTGTGTTGTATTAAATTGTATTCTTACTAACACAACTTGAGAGAACCTACATTTTCCCTAATCTTTGCCAGCACAATTTTCCCAGACAGATAAAATATGGCATCTGAAAAAAAAAGAAAAGAAGAAATGTATCTCACTGCTGTTCCAACTCATTTTCTCTGATTCCCTCTGAGCTTTTTTCATGTCTTACTCTCACAATAACCCGTCATATAATTTGCTCAGTTTCCCACTGGACTAGTTTGCTTTACTTATTGGTCTATAGAGGCTGTGTGTGTGCATGCCAGACATTAGGACTCCATTACACATGTATTATGAATACTTTATCCCAATCTGTCATCTATCCTTTAACTGTCTCTCACTCATCCTGCAGAACTTTTATTTCCAGGTACTCAAACTTGTCATTTGCTTTCTTTTTAAAAAATCCTGAGTTTTTTTTTTCAATTTTTAGAACTTCATATATTAAAAATTTTAACCCATCTTGTATTTATTTTTGTGTGCAGTGTGAGATAAATTACTTTGTTCCAAATAATAAGCTCATTGTCCAAAAGCCACATCTTTAAGAATTCTGTCTTTCTTCCAACTAATCTGAAATGGCATCTTTATAACATAACCAAACCTTCATGTATGCAAGGATGCGGTTCATAGCTCTTCTGCCAGAGTCATACTATTTTGGTTGCTACAGATTTGTAATATATTTTGCTGTGTGATAATGCAAATATTTTTCTCCTCATTCTTTAATACTTTTTCGTAACTATTCTTTCATTTTTCAATTTTCCCAATAAACTTAAGAATGAATTTTTCATTAAAGAAAAAACCTGCCAAGATAAAACAGTAATAAACAGTAGTAAAGTATCAATGAAATTCAGGATTTTTTAAAAGAGAAACTTTAAACCTGAGAAATACATATTTCTATTTCAAATCATTGTACAAATGATATTCTGGAGCACACACAAAAGGGTTCTTTCTCAATTCTTTCTTTCTCTTTCTTAGAAAATCACATCTTCAGTGAATGATATGCTGGGTGGATCACCCTTCAAAACGTCAAGTCCCAGTGAGACTTAAATCTTCTCTAAGGATTAGGAGTACTGTTGAAAGAAATCTTCCATTAAAGTAGAATCAAGTTCTACATTAATGAAATTGACTGGCTGCACAGCTAAATTACTGTTCATTTGAGTTGGGATTCTCTGAGCCTTTTTTAATCTCACCTTAGATTTTGGTACGCTGGAACCTATAAGGAGAAAAATATAGTAAAAATAGGTTACAGGGCTCATGCCAATTTGCATCCTGACGATCTGAATGAAAGATCTCTCTTCCTAGGAAGCAGTCGAATGTTTACAATTGCTAGTGAACCAAAAAAAAAATTTTTTTGTTTCTCAAATTACACCCTGCTACTGCCAAGTGTCTACCCTCTCAATTTTGGAAACAAATAGTATAGGAATTAAATCTCATGACCCTCTCCAACGTTCACCAGTTTATCACTTTTTTTCTTGAATCTCTGACTCTAGAGTCCCTCGTTTCTTTCCTCAAAGTGGCAAGGCCGTCGTTCCGTGCCCTGGTGAATTACACGAAGAGGTGAAAACCGAAATGAGATGAGCTGGAGGGACAGCGGCTGGTCAGAGCTGCAGAGGAGCTAGGGCTGATGATGGGCGGGGGGGTCGGGTCGGCGTGGAGGGAGATGAGCGGCCACGGGGACAGAGTCGAGGTCGGCGTGGGACGGGAAGAGCTGAAGGAAGCAGGAAGGAACACCGAGCAGCCTGGGGTCCCGGGACGCGACCAGGGCGAGTCGGAGCGACGAGGCCAGCGGGGATGGGGCGAGGGTGGGGCTGGGTGGCAGGACGCACAGACAGGATGGCAACGCGGGGAAGGGTAAGTTTGCAGAGGAGAGGCGGGTGCTTTCTCCTCCGAGCCCAACTCACCGAAGAGGCTGTTGCTAAACCCGTCCCACAAGCAGCCTGCGCTGTCCCAGACCCAGCCGTTCCTCAAGCAGGACACGAAGGTAAAGGTGACTCCGAAGAGGGACACCAGCAGGTCGCTGAGGCTGATGTTGACCAGGAAGAGGTGGGTGGGAGTGCGAAGCCGCTGAAACTTGTAGTAGAGAACAAGCACCAGCAGGTTGCTGCCGACGCCCAGAAGCGCGATGGAGCCAAAAAGCACCGCCAGGCGCTCGTAGGTGCTCGGAGCGAACAGCGGCGCGGGGCTCTGCGTCCCTGCCGTCCCCGATCCCTCCGCGCCCGCCGTTCCGTCGCCCTCCCAGAAGCCCTGGCCACCACTACGGTTCCCCGAGTACATGGCCCGGCGAGGGCGCGCTCGCCACCGGGTGGGAAGTGGGACCCGCCGCCAGCTCCTGCCAGTGCCCGCTGGACCGCCTCTTCCGCCGGGCGCACCCCGTAGCCACATCCCTCTCCTCGGCTGCGTTCCCGTAGCCTAGCGCGCTCTCGTAGCCACGCCCCCGGCGCGCCCTCGTAGCCACGCCCTCTCCCCGAGGGCGCGGCCTCTGGGCCCCGCTGTCAGGTCTTGGTTCCCACGCTTTCCCTTTCCCTCGCGTCCTCAGGCCCCCTCCACCCCTGCCCCGTCCTGCTCCCGGGAGGATAAAGCAGCAGGGAGGCAAATCAACCACAATGGAGTCTCACATACCGAGTCCCCTCATCCAGCTTGCAAGCACCATGTCTGTTCACTCCTGCATTTCCGCGTTCCTAAACATCTCCGGGCGCCTGCGCCTACTCTGAGCTAAGGAGAGGGCTGGATGAGGGACTCCATCCTCGGTTTCTCCCCTTCCCGGGCCGCTAGCCGACAACGCCAGTCCCCCAAGACGCGTCATGGAAGCCCCAGGCTGGGCCCCAGGCTGCCAGCGTTGTCCTCCCCTCCCGCCCTGAAGTCGCGGTAGATACATCCTGTTAGTGAGCATTGATTGCCGCAGCCGGCGTTGGTGGCGACTGCCCAGGAGGTGCCCTCGAAGCTTCAGCCTAAAACTAGCAGCTGCGCAGAGGTAGGTGTATATTTAGAACAGCACGCATTTTCCACTTGGCCTTCTCCCCAGTAGCAGTGAGAATATAGTACAAGTCAAATATAGACTGTGAATGTGAGCCCGCTGCGAGGGCATCTCCTGAGTCCCTACCAAGGCCCTGGAGGAGGACCACACCCCTGAGCCACACCGTTGAGCTGCCCTGGGCACTGGTGACTAGCACGGTGTGTGTGGAAGGGCAAAGGAAGTGCCCTCCAGGTGGGGTTTATCCCTCGCATCTCTGTTTAAAAGACCAGTAAAGAATGACTAGCTTCTATGAGCCCTCATTCCAAATTCCCCGCAGATGGAACCTAATCTTCTACGAACAGTCAGCCGTCCACCCTGGTGTCCCGGGCAAGGGCTGAGGAGCAGTGGGTTCGGCCCCCCAAACCATCATTTTAATCTTTCCAGCCTGGATTTGTCACCTATGAGACTTAACACACCACCTCTTTAAAAACCTCATTTAATTTTATATGTAAGTTTTATGCAACCATTTAACAAGTTCTATATTTTTCATGTCCACTGTGTTCTCAACATGGTGTCAAGTCTACAGTAAGCTCTCAATAAATATTAGTTGAATAAATGAATAAAGAAGGATTCGCTATATTTTTTTCTAAAATATTCACACATTCAGTCATTTGTTCATTCATCGTTCTTTGGTGCTGGGTTCCTGCCCTCCTAAAGCTTAAATGCTGGTGGTGTGGGAAGAGCACATGAAGTCATTTTGTACAGGGTGGTCACGAATAACTTCACTGTAGACACAGGGTACCTGTTACCAGGGTGGGGCTGCGCTTGGAGGAAAAACAAGGAAACCAAGGGGGCTGGAGTCAAACGAGAATTAAGAAGTGAGGACAGAAAGGTGGGTGATTAGTGATTGGCCAGATCATACAGTACCTTTGCCATTTTAATAAAAGAACTTTGTTTTTTTCTCTATCAGAGTAAACATCCAGGGCAACCACCACATGAGAGTAATAGTAACAGTGAAGGAAAAGAGAAATAAGATTTTTTTTTTGGCAAATATGTAAGAATTTTGATATCATAATTTTTACAACAGTGTTAAGGATACTATTTATACTTGAGAGAAATAGACAATGTTACCACAAATATGATTTATTTTGTCAGTAATGTATGTATGTTTTTATTTATTCTCAGAATTACATAATGATAGGATAATGGCAAAATACTACAACCTAAAATGCGAGTGCAACACTGGAATAAGGAGAGACGTATAGAGTAATGGAACTGAAAAGAGTCAAGATAGAAACCTTTACATATATTGTCAGTTGATTTTCTTTTTTTTTAAATTTTTTTAATCCTCACTCAAGAACATGTTTTACTGATTTTAGAGAGGGAGGAAGGGGGAGAGAGATTGAAAGAAGGAGAGAGAGGGAGAGTAGGAGAAAGAGAGACAGGGAGAAACCGATGCCAGAAACATCAATTGGTTGCCTCTCACATCTGCCCCAGATGGGGATCATACCCACAGCCCAACTATTTACCCTGACGAGGACCGCAGCCTTTTGGTGTACCAGACAACTCTTCAACCAACTGAGGCACACCAGTGAACACTCAGTTGATGTTCATTAGGATGCCAAGACCATTCCATGGGAGAAAAGACAATCTTTTCAACAAATACTGCCAGGAAAGCTGTGCCTCCACATGCAAAACAATGACGTTGGACCCTAGCCTTACGTTCTATACAAAAATTAACTCAAAAAGATCAAAGAGCTAAACTTAAACACTAGAACTATGGAACTCTCAGAAGAAAACATAGGAGAAAAAATCTTCATGACATTGGATTTAGCGATGATTTTTTGGATATGCTACCAAAGACATAGGCAATAAAAGAAAAAATAAATTAACTGAACTTCATTAAAATTATAACTTTTATTTATCAAAAAATACTCTCAGGAGAATGAAAAGACAACCCATAAACTGGGAGAAAATATTTGCAGATCATATATCTGGTAAGGGATTAATGTCCAGACTATATGAAAACTTCTACAACTCATCAACATAAACAACCCATTTCAAATATGGGCAAAGGACTTAAATAAACATTTTTATAAAGATGTACAAATGGGTACATGAAAAGATGTTCAATATTATTAGTCATTAGGGAAATGCAAATCAAAACTACAACCAAATACTACATCATACCTTTGATAATGGCTATTATTAAAAATTTTTTAAAATAAAAACAAAAAAACAAAAAAACAAACAAACAAATGTCGGTGAGGATGTAGATAAATTAAAAGTCTGGCATACTGCTGGTGGGAATGTAAAATGTTTCCACTGCGGAGAACAGCTTAGCAGTTCCTCAAAAAATTAAGCATAAAATTTTCATATGATCTAACAATTCCACTGCTAGGTATACACACAAAAATTTCAAAGCAGGGACTCAGACAAATATTTGTAGATCAATGTTCATAACAACATTATTCACAATAGCCAAAAGATGTAAAAAATCTAAATATCTATCAAAAGATAAATGGATGAACAAAATGTGGTATATATATACAATGGCATATTACTCAGTCATAGAAAAAAATGAAATTCTGGTACAAGCCACAACATGGATAAACCTTGAAACCATTATGCTACATGAAATAAGCCAGACACAAAAGGACAAATAGTGTATAATTCCACTTATATAAGGGTACCTAAAATAGGCAAATTCATAGAGACAGAAAGTAGAATAGCAGTTACCAAAAGCTGGAGAAAGAAAGGGATGGGGCCTTAGTGGTTACTGGCTACAGAGCTTCAGTTTGGGAAGCTGAAAAAGTTCTGGAAATAAATAGTAGTGATGTTTACACACTGTTGTGAATATACTTAATGCCACTGGGTTGTCCCCTTACAGTGGCACATAATGGTACATTTTATATTGTGTATATTTTACCATAAAAAAATGTGCATTTATCTTTCTTTGACTGACTTATTTCACTTAGCATAATATACTCTACATTCATCCATGCTGTCACAAATGGTAAAATACTATATGATTTCACTTAGAGGTGAAATCTAAAGAAGAAAATAAACACACAAAATTGAAACAGACTCATAGACACAGAGAACAGGCTGATGGTTGCCAGAGGGGAGAGGGGTTGGGGGACTGAGTGAAAGAGGTGAGGGGACTGGGAAGTACAGATTCTAGTTACAGGGGCGTCACGGGGATGTACACGGCAGCAAGGGGAACATAGTCAATAATATTGTAATAATATGCATGGTGCCAGGCGGATACTAGAAATTTCAAGGGGAGCACTTTGTAAAGTGTACGATTGTCTAACCACTATGCTATACACATAGTACTAATAGAAAGTAATATTAAATATAAATTATAATTAAAAATAAAATTTAAAATTTTTTTCACAGCACAAAAGTCCATGCAAACTGTGCCTGCATCTCCTTTCTCAGAGTAGAAGTAAACAGATATAATCACTTTCTTGAGCAAGCTCGACTCAGTATGGCCCAAGCTAAGGTTACTTGATCCTCCGTCCCACGACTCCTTTCAAATGTCTTCCTTCCACCTGTCCTTTACGGCCTTTGGATGACATTTTGTCAGGCATCAAAGCCTGTCTGGTCGCTTGTAGTTAACATAACCTCTACACTGATATCCATTGTAGTGAAACAGTGAGATTTGGGTACACCGGGGACAAAGAGAGCAGTTACAGGCTTCCTGATTGAGGCAGGACGGGGGATGAAAACAAGTGATGTTCACAGAACCAGGGATCGGAATAGCTTGTAATCAGCAACAGACGTTGGTTAAATTAGACTTCTTATAATAGCAACGCTAGAAGCAAAAGGACAATGGAATAACACCTTCAAAATATTGAAAGAAAGCAATTTCCTACGTAAAATTCAACACCCAACCAAATATCAATCAAATTGCAAGAGGAGATTAAGGATATTTTCAGACATGCAAGGCATCCAAAATGTACCTTCCAGGTACTATTTCTGGACGTGAGTCATCAAAATGGGGGAATGAACTAGGGAAAAGGAGGACGTCCCGGACTGTAGAAGAGAAGGACATTTGCACGTGACGGCAGGGAAAGGTAGCAGGGTGCCAGCGAGGCCTGGCGGGCAGAAGGCACCGGCCAGGCCAGGCTGCAGGGATGCCACTTAAGAGACATCTGGACAAGTGTTACCAAGATGCCTTCTGCTCTTGGATCGTATTTTTATCCTGAAAACGCCTGCAGGAGCACAGCCCCGACTCCCCCCAGTACTTGGTCAGCCAGCGTTGCCCAGCCCCGCACTGTCCTCTGCCTGTCCTCTGCCTGTGCCCTGTCACGTGCTTCAACTGAGAGTCCTCATGTCACCCCGGAGAAGTTCTTCGTTGGCCTGCTCATCCTGAGACCTGGACTTGGCCGCGGTGAAGCCAAATGCAGAAAATGCCGAGCTACCTATTCTCCTGATAGGATTTCCACCAGGTGGCTGGTGCCTGGGCCATGTCACAGACCTGCTGAAGACCTGTCTGCAAGCCCATGTCATGGCCTTTCCCACTGGTTTCCACACATGGCTCTGACAAGACTCAAAGAAGCTGAAGCCATCCATAGTAGCTCAGGGAAACCATTCCACCTCTTTTTTCCTAGAGCCATTCTCTCACAGGGGTGCTACTAACAATTTTTCTTTATACAGCTAGGAATGTGTTTCTTCTGATTTTTTAAAAAATTACAGGTCTTTTTTTAGAAAGACTTTATTTATTTTTAGAGACAGGGGAAGGAGGGAGGAAGAGAGAGAAACATCAATGTGTGGTTGCCTCTCGTGTGTCCCCCACTGGGGACCTGGCCTGCAACCCAAGCATGTGCCCTGACTGGGAATCGAACCCGTGACCCTTTGGTTCACAGGCTGGTGCTCAATCCACTGAGCCACACCAGCCAGAGCCAATTCATTACATTTTTTTTTGACCACCTATTTTGCACTAAACACAGTTCTAGAGAAATAAAGACAAGTAAGAATCAGTCACCACTCTCAAGGAGCTTAAGGTGTTCAAGTTTGGAAAACTTGATTCAGTAGCAATTGGACTAAATGGTACTGGAGTAGTGGAGACTGTGAAAAGAGGAAAGGAGATTTGCAGATAGTTCTGCTCTCATTCAATGAATAACCCCTTGGAGAACTTCTCATTCAGGAACTTACCCTTCTCCATTTCTGGCTCAATTTACCATTTTAATTGAAGGACAATGCCTAAGGAATAAGAGGCATTTTTATCCTTTATAACCTCTAAATATACTTTCCTCTGTGATAGAAAAGACAGATGCTGAAATACGTTTTCATCTTTAGAAGTTCATGCTTTCATATCCAGTACTGCTGCGAGGATGAATGTGAACGTCACTCTCCACAGCGTCTTGAGAAAGAAGGCAAATGGTCTGCAGTAGATACAGAAAGGAGAAAGCCATGCCCAGTTTCCTTTCTTGGTCTTTACCCATTCTTCTCCCCTCTCTGGCAGCGTACATACACACACCTGTACATACACGCAAACACACAGGCCTACGCCATTTGTGGGAAAATCAATCGCAGCCTCCTCCTCATAAAGGAAGAAGGAAGTTACAGAGGCATTATGATGTAATGGGTGCCGTATGAACGACACTGGTAACATTATGAGGTCAGAATTGCACTGAAATGCTTGCCCATGTGACATGCATTAAATCTCCCTGCCAACAGCCTGGTGGCAACTCCTACTCCTCCCCACGGAATGGGATCTTAAGATCAAGGGAATGAGACCTACGGTAACAACGGAGACAGCAGGAAGGCAGTGTAACAACCTGGAGGTTTTCCAAGTTGACAAATTTGCATTCTTTTTCCCTGTGCAGAAATAAAAATTCCCTGCATCGTAATGGATGTCAGGGAGGAAAAGAGTCTCGATAGTGCACTTCAGATGAAACATTTCAAGACAGCCCTATACGAGTTTGAAAAACTGGTTGAACGTGTGGCAGCCCAGAAAAGAGATGAAAGAGCAGGCTTGTTTGTCCAGAAAGAAGGTAAGACCAGTGATAAAGGGCAGTCCAGTGGGATTAGAACTGGGAGGGGTTTTAAGCCGTCGGAGAGAAGGAACGCAGCTTAAAAGCAAGGACACTTCATAGAGGGCCTGAGTCCTCATTCAAACTCAGTCTTGATATAGCTAAGTGGTCTTGGCGAAAGTTTTTTTTTTTCACTTGTCTGAACTTTAATTGTCCCAAATGTAAAATCAGGCGGTTGGGTTACATGGCATCCAAGGGTCCTTCTGCAGGACATAGCATCTCACGGCTCACTGGTTAATCTGGGGTGTCATGAGACCATAGCGGCTTCCTGGCTGGGCCTCTCCCTGTGTCTCTAGGCTGGAATGACTTTGAGCATGTCAAGTAAGGGGAATAGGGCAGGCGGCAATCTGCCCAGATCACCGGCAGCGGAGATGACAGTGCAGAACGGATAGTACACTACAGGGTCTGGGTTCCAGAGGAGTGGGGTGGTGTGCAGCTTCAGGGCACTGAGGAAGCAGGGGAGGGGAAGGCTCAGCCAGCAGAGTGCAAGACCCGCAGGAGAAAGCTTCTATGGCAAGGGAAGAAGAAGGGTTCATATAACTGTTAAGGGGTCAGCATGGACAACCTCGTAGTGAGCCAGGCTGTGCAGCCCTAGGGAGTGAAAATGTTGACTCCATGTGTTCAAGCCTAAACGAATAATATTTGAATAGTATTTAAAAATGTATCCATCACTTTGATAAATATAATTTGATTCTTATGAAAATTCTAATAGATAAATATTACTCTTGTTGATATCCCAATTTTATTTGTTAAAAAATGAGAGGCATACATAATTCACCTGCCCAAGTCACTCGGCCGCTAAGTGCTTGAGCTAAGAGTCAGATTTAGATGATTATGAACTTGGCTGGGCTTTCTAACCTACTTAACAAAACTCTCATTTTCTTAGTCAGTTTCTTCTACCTCTCCCTTTAATTGATTTTTCGAACCCTTACCATTTTCCTGAATCCTCTATGGGATATCAGCTCCTCCCAGCCAAGCCTCCAACGTCATAACAAAAAACAAGACCAAAAGACAAGAATTCTCCCCGACTCTCTTTCCTCCCGGAATACCCAAAGCACGCCCTGCTGATTCTTCCATTCCTCACCCTCTCCAAGGCTGTCACTTTGTTGCAACAATGTCAAAGTCTCCTTTTTCACTGGCTTTGTCCTCTCAAACTAAAAATATACCCAACCCTCCTGACCTTGACTTTCTCTTCCTTTTAAGCTACCACTGTACGTCTTTGCTTCTCCACCAAATTTCTCTGCAACATCCCCTCTACTCAAGCCTCATGAGCTTGCTGAAAATGCTCTTACCAAGGCATCTGATCACCTAATATGGCTGCCAACTTCAATAAATGGTTTTCATTGTCCAGCGTACTGGCCATTTTGCCGCATTAACAGTTAGCTGCCTCTGCTTCCAGAAACTTTCTCCTGTGTCTCTCGTCATTCCACTCTCTTATTTTTCCACTTTCTCCCTTTGTCTCTGCCTCTCTTTTCTTGGGCTTTGCCTGTGTTCTCTCTCAGTCTTATAGCACAGACACCTTCTACCTGGTCTCCTGAGCCAGGTATCTTGGGAAAACCTTTGACTATTTCATTGTTTCTTGGGCTATTACAACAGCCTCTTAATAGACTACTGTCCCTGCCAAGAGTTATTTTCAACCTTTATATTTTGGTGGAGAGTTTTTCCTTTAAAAAAAAATTATAAACAGCCACACTGCTGGCTTATAGGCTCACTTCTAAAATCCATGTACATTAACTTAGCATCCAGGGCTACTCAGTGATGCCTCAATCTACCAGCCTCAGCTCCTGGAACTTGCGTCCACGCACCTTCCGCCGTAGTAGGAGCTTTTCAGCATCTCCTCGCATGCCCTATTCTTAACGACTCTGATTTCGCACAGGTCATCGCCCCGTGTGGGTGCCTTCCCTCCCCTTCTTGTCTCGGTAAACTCTTGGTCCTCTTTCAAGACCTAAATCCAAGACCTAAAGGCACCCCTTTTTAAGACTTTCAAACCTTCCCCAAGAGATTATGTCATCTCGAGAAATTTGCCTGCTGCACTTACGCTGCTGAACTTGCTGTCTCCACGTGACCTGCCCCTCCTCCTCTGTCACCGAGCGGTGAGTGCATTGAAGGCTTTGTAACCCAGGGCTGGCCCAGAGTCGGGCGTCCAGGAAGTACTGTGCTTCTAAAATGTGCGCTAAATGAACAAGCTACCCTTGCTTTCATTTAAAAGCTTGCAATCACAAAATCATACTGAAAAATTTCCTTCCTTTATTGTATATGTATGTATAGTATATATACATACACATAGAGAGTGTATATTATACATTTCATACAAAATTTACTAGTGTATAGTACATATTTTAGGGAGAATATAGATTTGATAAAAACTAAGAACTACTAGATAAATTACCTTCTATGACAGAGAGACTGATTGGAAAGATTGAGAAGGGAGAAATGTAATCTTAACTTTCATCAGCCTGCTAGTACTGGCATACACTCCCATTCATTTTTAATGTTGGAATACGGGGTCTCTCATTATAGGCAAGAAGCTAAGAACTATAGAGAATGTTTTTAATGTAACAGTGTCTACCTCAAAAATGGTATCAAGTACACTGCAGGAACTCTTCCATGCACCATAGCCCTTCAACCTTGTCCTGATAGCCCTACCTTCTTGTCCTGATAGAATTAAATCTTCTTGTCCTGATAGAATTAAAACATGCCAGGGGGAAAAAAAAATCATCCAGTGACATTTGCAATGAGACACATACCTCGACTATTATCCTAGGTGGTATGAGTTTAAAACAGTGAAGCATTTGCAATGAGACACATACCTCGACTATTATCCTAGGTGGTATGAGTTTAAAACAGTGAAGCTATTTGAGTATCTTACAGGAATTTCAAACTTAATATGACCAAGATGGAAAGTTTATTTGCCCCAAGAACCATGGCCCTTCCTCTGTTTTGGTAAATAGTACCAACGTCTGCTGAGTTTTAAAACCAGAAACCCGCATGTGATTGTAGGACAGGGTGTCCCCACCTTGGCGCTGCCAACGTTTGGGCAGGTTAAGTCTTTGTTTTGTGTATGTGTCTGTGTATGCGTGTGTTTCTGTGTATGTGTGTGTATGTGTGCGGGGGCTGCGCTGTCCTGTCATTGCAGGATGTTCAGTGGCATCTCTGCCCTGTCCCCTCTAGATGCCAGTAGCACCCCCAGCCCTAGTCAAGACAATCAAAAATGTCGCAGACACTGTCAATGTCCCTGTGGGAGAGGAAGGGCAAGATCTCCCCTGGATGTGAACCCAGGGAACTCTGGATTCCCGCCTGTCCTTCCTTTACCACTTCCAGCCCCAACCACTCCCACCCCACACGCAGGTCTTTGCGGTTCCACTTCCCGCCGCCTCTCACCATCTGCAGGCTGTCTCTTGGGTGCCTCTATCACTTATCATCCACTTGAGGGTACTTTCAAGTGTGAGAGGGGGTGTAATTAATAATTAAGGTGGGAAAATAGGCGTAAAGGAGACCGTCCATTGGAAACCCAGGATGTATGACCACCTTCTGCATTGCCCTGGCCCAAGCCCCCACCGCCCGGGACCGCGGTGAACGCACCAGTCCCTGGCTGCTTTGAGAGCTTCCACTCTCGTCTCCTCACAGCAGCCACTGTGCTTTCAAAAAACATCTAAGTCCACTCATGTCATTTCCCTGCGTAAAACACCCTAGAGGCAGCTCACCAGCCTGCTCAGAATAAAGGACTGGCTTCCCATTCAAGCTCCGCTTTCCTCCTCGGACCCCACGTCACTGCGCTCCCCTCGGACCTCACCGTGGCCGTGGCCGTGGCCTTACTCACTGACCTCCCCGAACTTGATAGGCTCCTCCCAGCCCAGCACCCTTGTGTTCATCAGCCTTCTGAAGGCTCTTATCTCGCGTTACACGCAGCGATTGCTTTTTGCTTCTCGGGTCTGAGCTGAACCTTTTCCCTGTGCTTTTAGGGCGAGCCGCCGGAGGCCCACCCCCACCCACCAACACCGCTGGTGCACTCACCACTACATTTCACAGATCCCTCTTGGTCTCCTTCCTAGCACTTATCTCCCACGGTACGTCATGAGTTTTACTTTGTCATTAGGGTATGACATACGGACAATGAAGCCCATGAAGTGCACTGGTCGGAAGTATATAGCTCGAGAAATTTAGACTTTGGTAAACAAACCTGTAGCTACCCACCAGACTGAGACTAAGAACATCTCTAGCATCCCAGAGACTTCCTCATGCCCTTTTCAACTTAACACGGATAGCCACTGATTTAATATCTATCACTAGTAGGTTTCCTTTCACAATCTGCAAATATTTATTGGATTGTTCCTGTTCATGTTGTTTCTCTTGCTAGAATGTGAATTTCCTGAAAACGGGATCTTGTCTATCTAGTTCTCTGTTGAAAGTCCAGCGTCTAGCTCTGTTCTGACACATAAGAAATGCTTAATACATTTTTGTGTCTAACTCCTTCTTGTCCTTAGACTCAATAGTCATACCTCATTGAATCATCAAATTAGGCAAAATAAGTATTCAAAAAATGGCCTGTTTGTGTGCTTACAGTGTCAAAGAACCAATCAAGAATTGCTCTTTGCTCACTCAAGACGAACTCTAGCAGAGGTTCCTGATGGGTAAAACTTCTAACAGTAAGAAAGAAGTAGCTCAACTTTTTGTCTTTGCCTTCCTGAACAAAACTCCTAAAATAGTTGCAACATAAGCTACAGAGAAAAGTACTAAACACCAAAGTAAACTATTTTCTTCTGACTTTAATGAAGCCCCCAGTTACATTTCCAATGGAGAAAAAAAATCTTTCAAATGCAGAAGAATCTGTCTTTTGTAGGTTAAAATGATGAAATAGGCTAGCAAATAGAAGAGACAGCTGGCTCTGGCCAGCATGACTCAGTTGGTTGGAGCGTCATCCTGTAGACGAAGAGGTTTTGGATCTGATCCTGGTCGAGGCGTATCTGGGAGGCAACCAATCAATGTTTCTCTCTCCCTTCCTCTCTCTCGAAAATCAATGAACATATTTTTTTAATTCTTTTCATAAAAAAGGAAGAAAAAACGGCTGCCAAATGCAATATAGTTCTTGGGATTTTATGACAATGTTTTTGCACTTTGTTACACTGCAGATCTGATTGATTATGAGAAGTTCTTTGCAGCAGTACAAGGACTCTTTGGTCCTGAGGTGAAGAATCAAGATGTGAAATACTTTTACAGGAAGCTCTGCCACAACCCTGATGCACCTACAGACTGGTGTGAGGTAGTCACCTTTTATGTCTATATGAAATGCATGCATTATTTTTTTCATTTAGAATAAACAATTAAATCGAAGTGTTACTCCCATAAGGGGTACGTGCACAATGTAGTGGCATGTTTACGTGTCTACACCTGTCCAGGGGTGTCCGCTGCCCATAACTGAAAGTGGGTAAACCAGATGGACGTTTAACTGCATTATTGAGTGACTTCTAGACCAAGCTGCCAACTGGAAGAACTATACATGCTGTTAACAATAATCAAGATGTTAATGGCCTTCTTTACATTCTAAATGAAATATTGCTTTCCAATCATGTCAATATACACAAACTTCAGTGCATCCAAATCCTCAGTATGAGAAGGAAAGGGAGGTCATTGACTACCTCTTCCATTTTCTGAGCAATTTCCTGACTGGCACAGTATTGATATAATTCTGGTGTTCTTGGAAGAGCGCATAGAAGCATGTTTGGTTGTTAAGTGGATGATGGAAGTGGAGCCAAAGTGCCTCTGATCCCTGTTTAAATTAACAGAAGATGACACTCTATAGACTTAGTTATAAACCAGATTCTTATGAAATCATTTGCAGTAGCTTACAATTTAAAAAAATTGCACGCATGTGTAAACAGTAGTTAAAATGATTTTTTAAATTATCCAACTCTCTCTTAAAAACATGTAGTATAACAGGCAAAATAAAAAGCAAAGACTTAAGAGATTTGACTATAACATTTAATAACTTGGTAGACATGTATAAATAGAACTTTGAACCCAAGATATAGAACAAATAACATCTTAACTACATATAGGGACCATGGCAAAATTGACTATATGTGAGGCTAAAAAGAACATTTCAGTAAATTCCAATATAATAAAAGTAGAGACCAATAACAGAAGACAATCCAAATCCCCCAGACCAACCAAATAAAAAATAATTAATTTTATAAAACAATTGCAGACAAAAAGAGCTTCTATTAAGCCTTTACATTTTTCCTACACCTTAGGAAAGTTGAAAAGTTATCCGATTCATTTTAAGAGGCTAAATAACACTGATTTGAGTGAAGATAAAATGTCAGGAAATTATAGGCCAATATTACTTATGAATATAAATGCTTAAGTTTTAAATGAAATTTTAACACGTTGAATCCAGCAGTGCATTACAAAGTCATTTCTGGAATACCGGATTCATGCACCAAAAATAATGAGTTCTGATTGCCAAGCTGACTCATTTTTCTTGTTCTTTTCTTTCCTTCTTCCTTTCATGACACTATCCTGGTCAATTTCATGGGTTCCCATAACTGTTATGCAAGTTTAATAGGAAAGCATAGGCTGACCGTCTGACATACTGTATGCATTTGAAGAATAACTTGAGGTTTGAAAAAATGGTGCAGAAAAGCTCCTCTTCTATTGTTCTGTCACTTTCATCACAAACTATCTGTGCCAACGCTCCTAAGAGACACATCTATTTCAAGTCGTGTGACCTAACCTTTCTGGGCTTCCGATCTGTCATCAGTAAAATGGAAATTTGATGCTGGAAGATTAACTTCATTTCAGTATGAATTAACTGTTTTTTTATCAGCCAATAGTCATCTTATCAGGTAATACAAATCAAGAGAACTCTTAAAATCAGGCACACAGGTACAAACCCGATTGTGAATATAAATCACTTTATTGTAGCGATACCACAAAAAAGGTGCACTTTGTTTTTCTACATTTTCGGTAAAAATGCACTTGGGAACATTGACATTTGTAGAATAAAAGCCCCACCCCGGACGTTCCATATCAGCCCCTACCTTTTCACAAGCTTCCCACCGATTCGTATTTATACTAATGTTTGAGAAAAACCCTTCAGTTCATTAACCCGTCTGTTCATTAACAAGCACCAACCAGTCTCAAGTTCATGAGAAATACTGTAATTAATTTATAAGAATTTTATTTCTGCTTATTCATAAGACAATCAAACATCTATCTTAAGCTGTACAGCCTCTTGAATGCCAAACTCCCCCTAAGAGGGAAACCAAATCTTGCCCGGGAAGATTTATGGAAAATGGGTAGGAAAAGTCATGAAAGTGACCAAATTCAATGTCAGGGGACTCAGATGAAGGCTGATTTGATTTCCGACCAAGTGCCCACTCCCGACAGAACTATCAGTGTGGGCGAGGACCCCAGCCTGGTCCATCCATCACAAAGCAAAACCACAGTCTGTTTAAAAATCATGCGCCATCAGCACTCAGTGTGTTAAAGGTACCAAATGGTCTTCTCTTCATATGGGAACCCCCTGACATTTATAAAGCAAGTTTTGACCATTAATTCAAGGCTTTAAATCCAAACAACACCCAATCTGTTACGCAGTAGGCAATTCTGAAATATTGCTCATGCTCATATGTGTTGTTTGGGATTTTAGATCTTTGGATACTTCTCCTCTGAAGAAGATTCTCTTACTTCCCAGATGAATGAAGAAAATTTGATTTTCCTTGTTTCTAGAAAACAGCGAATTGTCATTTCAGGTGATATTGTTAATGTCCCTTTCAAATTAATATGGGTTTTCATGTTTTTCTCAAAAGTAAATATTGAGAATATAACATTTCCACAGAATCACTTTTCCTTTTGTTTACTTTATCAGTAAACAGTGCAGTTTTATATGCACTCAGAGGAAACTGTGCCTCCAGATGAGTCTGATATCTTGTCATTGCTCTAAAGGACACTAAATAGGGAAAGTGAGGGAGGGGTAGAGAATCACATTTTATTGAGTAGGCACAGATCTGAAGTTAAAATTCTCCACTATGGCACCTCAGTAATGCAAGTTCCAGTACCAAATGGAATCACATCTCTTTTACAATATCCTTAAAACTGAATGTTCAAGTTTTCACTAATTAGAACTGCTTTCCACACACTCATCCCCGATGATCTCACGGAAGTTTAACCCTGGATGTGACACTGTGCATTTGGGCCAATCACAGAGGGTGGTATCTCATGTTAGGGAGTCTCCAGTTGACATGTCAGTTATTTTGAAACCCGAGCCTGGGACCCAGCAAGTCCCATCCCTCTGCACTATTGACGCTGTGGGTTTTCTTTCCTTCCCCCCGCCGCCCAGGAAGGGGGAGGTCCAGGAAGAGGAAAGGCAAGCCCTGGCATCTGCCCTTGTTCTCTAGCATTTTCTTCCAAATTCTGAAACAAAGAGCCTTGTCTAGGTCAAATCCTATCTTCCTTTAAAAAGCACTTGGCCTTATTTCAGTCCTTTGTGACCCGAGCCTGCCCTTGTCTTGGGCCCTTCTTTAGCCCGACTATGGGCCTCACCAGAGCCCAAACTCTGACCATGGAAACTCTCATCACAGAACAGAAGCAAGGGGGCTATTCCTACTGCCCCCACCCTGAGCTGAGGCTGGTGGAAAACATCTTTCCAGATGGCAGTTAAGTCCTGTAGTTCAGTTATTCACTCAACAAACATGTGTTAAGGTCTACCGCATGAGCCAGGTAGTTTTCTAAGTGCTGGGGACACAGCAGCGAGAAAACAACCACAAACTATAAATCTTGACCTCCTGAAATTTACATTCTAATGAAGAGAGGGAGGTAATATAAAAATATCAAACTAGTAATATATATAATAGGTCAGATGGCATTAAGCGGTACAGAAAAAAATTAAGTACGGTTGTGGAAGAAGAAGTTGATTTTGAGATGGGAACATGGTGTGGGATTTTAAATAAGGAAGGTGGTCAGGGAAGACCACACTGAGATGGTGATAAAAGCCTGGAGTGAATGAGAGGGAGAACCGTATACTTCGTAGGAGTGGAGGAGGGGCAGATGCCAATGAGTATGGGGACACAGGTCTAGGGTCTTGTGGCCACGCCAAAGACTTCTGAGAAGCTACAGGGGGGCTGCAGATAGAAGGGAGGCAGGACAGATCCTATTTTAAGTGTTTCTTCTGGCTTCTGTGTTGAAAACAGTCTATAGTAGGGAAGGACCAGACACAGAGAGAGAATTGGAGGTGGCTTGGCCTAAGAATATGTCCTCAGCCTTTTTTCTGTTATTGACCCCCTAAGGAGCCTTTGAGACATCTTTCTAACTGTGGGCCCCTCTCACCCCAAACCCCCTCCCAACTCCCTCCCTACACCCCATGGCATTTTAATACCTCAGATATACTGTGTAGCTGTTTTTGGACCATATGTATATCTGAGTATAATACACAAATAGAATGAGACTCATTCACACACTCCCAACCACCAATTTGCACCTTCGTGGGGGCAGTATTTTCTCTGTTGAGAAAAAGTTGGTTGTTCTTTTTAAACAGACCTAACAACGGACTTTTAGGATCTTTCCTGCTGGGAGCTGAACTGCATATTATGCCATTTACAGGTAGTAGGAGGCGGGATGTGATTAAGTGCATTGTCAAGATTCCACAGCTGGATTTACTGATAGCAGCTTCTCAGAGAGGATTAATAACCGTCTTCAATAGCCAGGTAATTTCAAATCTTGGATTCCTCCTGTCCTTCCCCTTCCTTCTTCCCTCCCTCCCTTTCTTTTGTTTTACCTGCACATTATACATAGGTAGCTGGTACAGCAGATGCCATAAACCATACTTCAGAGTTATTCCCCAAGAATCAAACTAAAAGTGAGCAACATGCAGAGGTTGCTGAACCCCAGAGCGATAGTTGATTTAGTGACTGCATTTAGCATCGTTCCTCTTGTAGCATATGAACCATGTGGCATCCACACAATTAAAGGATGACCCGGGATAATTTCTCAGATAAAATCAGAAAAATGTGCCCTGGCTGGTGTAGCTCAGTGGGTCGAGTGCTGGCCTGCGAACCAACGGTGACTCGTTTGTTTCCCAGTCAGGACACATGCCTGGGTTGTGGACCAGGTCCCCAGTAGGGGGTGCACAAGAGGCAACCGCACTCTAATGTTTCTTTCCCTCTCTCCCTCCCTTCCCCTCTCTCTAAAAATAAATAAATAAAGTCCTTTCAAAAAATCAGAAAAATGCACAAGCTGAGTGATTCTTGTCATAATCCCACCAAATCGTAGAAGCAATCTGAACAAGAACCTTAGAGTAAAGAAAAAAAAAGCCTCAGATTCCAGCCTCTTTGTTTTACTAGCTACGGTGGTTGAGTAGGGAACTTAAGGAGCCCACATGTCTTTTCACGTCCCTTTTTTTTTTTTTTTTACATCTGTAAAACGAGGACAATAGGACCAGTCCTCCTTCTCCCAGAGGAGCGTAGCGAAGGTCACGCGAGATGAGGAAGGTGGACGTGCTTTACGAACCATAAATTTCCGTACAAGTGTAACGCATTGCTCTCATTAATGTCATTCTAAATTTATACTGTCGGACTTCTATTTTTAAACTATGAGAGATTTTAATGGAAACATAGACTAGATCGCACTTCACTATGAATAGACAAGGTGAATGTTTGGTGTTAAATATAAAAAAATAATTCCAGTTACTAGTTGATTTCCAACGAAAGGCAAGCTTTATACCAGGGACTGGCACAGGTAACACCCCATTTTTATTACAAAATTTTTTATTACAAAATCATAAGCATGTCATTCTGTAACATAATAATATCACACTCAAGCACACCATAGGACATGTTAGGTAAAATGTTCAAATTAAAATGATAAATTAGTACACCCATATTTTACCTTACCAACCACACTCGAGCAGGCCTTACTTCTGCCGGACCCTATCTGTTAAAATAATCATCAGATGACTAAAATGTTAATAGTAATTTTCAGCCCTTCAGGGATCTCCGGTACAGCAGCCAGTCCCAGTAAGGAGGGGCGCCGGCACCCAGAGGCCCGGCGGTGGGAGACAGAGTTTTGGGCGGGGGGGCCCGGTCCCCCGCCCAGCTGTGCATGTTACCTCCAAGTTTATCCCCAAGCCCTGCTTCCTCCTCATTCAGAACCAGATAGCTTCCCTTTGTGGGTAGCTGTGCTGATCCAATGCGTTAATATACATAATGTGCTTAGCATCACTGTAAATGTTCAGTGAATGTTGGCAATAAGGGTAATGAACAAATGCCGTGGAAACAAAATGAGAATGTCTTTCCTGATGTCTTTTTGCAGTGCATCATTTTTCTGCTCATTTTTACCTCTATATTCTCAAAAAATAGAACTGAGGTGGTATCTACATACAAATGTGAGAAGGAAAATAATGAACTTCGTAATGAAATTGTTCAGGATTAGGTGAAGTGAGATGCCATTATCATATTTGCAGAAATATGTCTCTTTCATACACACACCCACACATGCTTACAGGTGAACACGTGTACTCACAAGCACACAGACACATCTGTTTCTTATAAGATACTGTAATTGGAGAGAAAAGGTTGCTTAAACACTTATTTTAAGACTTAATACACCAGGAATAAGGAGCATTTTGAATGTTGCATGTCTATGGAATAAGATAACACATTCTATGAGAATAGGCATTTGGTAGGGTAGGTCCCAGGAATAATTTATTAAAAGGTAGCCAATAATGCAAAATATCTTGTAACAGTTTAATCTATAATTTAGGCTCTATCTGAAGTCTAATAAATACATTTAAGAATTTTCTTGGTGCTCCGTGAAGGGCTTCACAGTCTAGAGTTTAAATGTCATTAATGAAAATTCCTGCCAAAAAGGGTAGATTTTGAAAATTCAAAACATAACGTTTTAAAGAAGAGAACTTTAGTGATATCTGCTAAACATGAAGTTCAAGAAATTGAAGAGGAGAAACCACAAGTGTCCTGTTTTCTGCTCACCGATTTCCTTAGAAATTTACCCATCTAGAAAGAAGTCCCACATTAAAAAAAAAAAAAAGGCCTTTTGAACTCTTCAGATGAAAGACATTCTGCGATGACTGTTTAGTCACTGCCCTGATTTAATTTCTCTTTTTCACACGATCCATTCCTTCTGGGCAGCCATGTCCTATGTATTTGAGCATCCAAAAGAAACCAGGTCATTAACATACTTCAATTAAACAATTAACTAACATGCCTTAAGGGTCTAAGAGGCCACTCACGTGAATTCTAGCTACGCTTGGAAACAATCCGCGATCCTTAAGAACTGTAGCACCCAGGGCATGGTATTTAATACTTACTGAATAAAACAGGAAGCCCCCTGGACGGAATGTTCTTAAATGTCACAAGAGCTTGACGGCTAAATCTCACATAAAGCCATGTTTTTTCCTCCATCAATCTATACCCATTGCAACCCACTTAGTATTCTTTCAGCAAGCTGTTTTGTGTTCTTTTAACTGCTCTTGCCGTTGCTGTTAGTATTATGTTGCATTGCCATTTTTTGCTTTGCTCTGAATAACTAAAGAATGTGAGGCAGTTGGCAAATAGAGGGGACGAGAGGACTAGAAAAGCGTAAGACTTAGAGCCCTGTCGCGAGGCTTCAAGACAGGCCACAGAAGCAGGAAGCCTGGCCAAAGCACACAGAGCATTGATCCAAAGAGCTAGAAGCTCAGAGGAAACAGGGAGGAGGGCGGAGGAAGTGAGACTAAACAAGGAGATGCTGTGTTGTTTAAGAGTGAGCATCCACATTGTTAATCATAGAGCCAACGAACTTTCATTGTTGTCTTCCTTCATTTATAGATGAGAGTGCAGACCAGCACCAACGTCACAGTAAGTACATTGGAAAAATTCCCCATTAAGTCAAATGTAGAGCTATGATGGATGGTTCCCCCATAACTAATCCCACTCTCAGCAAAATGCTCTGAGAACAAGACGTTTTCCTAGATTGTAAACCTAGGTTTTTTGACTAGAACTAAACCTTGGGCAACAGCAAAGGGGACGCAGGCCTTGCTTTGTGGAGTTAAACAGACTGCAGTGATTGCTTGGAACGTGATTCCTCCGCGAAGCTTCCCTTTAAAAGCTTCACCTAAGTTCTTCTGAGCACCTGCTAACTCAGGAATGTAAAAAATATACGCAATCCAAGTGTGAGCACAGCAAAGGAATAGCTACTAGAAATAATTTTAAAGCATTTTATTTTAAACTTGAACAGAGCATTACAATCCAAGTGTAATGTTGGAATTTATTTCATCTACGTTGTTAATTGGAAAAGTAACCCAGCCACAAACGTAAAGTTACAGTGGCTTGTCTCAGAATCCCACCCTGCATCCAGGAGGGAGGGGGAAACGCTTGACTCCTCCAAAACCCTGCTTGCCAACACCCAGCGCACTGAACTGCAAAGGAGGGGGATGGTTTCTCTCTAAACCTCCGAGCCTTTGTTTCTTAAACTGACAAAAACTGTTAGAGTCCCAGTGTGTTTTCCAGAAGGTTCAGGGGCACCCAGCAGTTTTGGGGAACTCACGAAAGGGAGCTATTCTCCTTGTTCAGTCGTGTGTTTTCCTGGATATTACTGATCCCATTGAAGGCCAGCTTGGTGACTTTAGGCAAGACACAAACTCATTGGCTTCCACTTGCTCATTGACCGGGGATCACAAGATCATTTCTAGCTAAAAATGTTATGCATGGTTATGGGGCCAGAGACTTTGATGCATCCGGTCTCCCTGTGTGTCCCTGTGAAGAAGCCTTCTCACCTAAGTGCATAGGGTACAAAGATGGCTGCTGCACCCGGTACTGTGTGCATCCAGGGCTACGCCGGGTTCCAGCTCCACCGCCCTCTAGCTGGTGGTCTGAGAAACTCGGGGCAAGAGAGAAAGGGGGAAAGGCGACGGCCTCCCCTCTTGAAGACCTTCCAGAAGAGACCTCTGGAGCCTCCTCTTCAAAGGAGGGGCCAAAACGGGGCCTTTAATGTAACGAACCTATTTTTCAGTAACCATCACTATATGACAGGACAAAACTCAATATACATCCCCCTCCAAGTGTACGCTTTTCTATCAGGATACCTCATGGATCACAGGATGTGATTACCTACCACAGCTGAAGCGGATTGTTGCCACCACGGAAAGGACCATTATTGTCTGGGATTACAAAGCTCAAGGGACCAGCCAGGTACTGTATCAAGAGAAATACTCAAAGAAATGAGATGGCCTTCTCCACACTGGTAGAATGTGAATACCACCCTTTGTGTACTGAACAGTTTCCTCCTGTGTAAAATGAGGGGGTTCAAGTAAATAATCAAGTCCAGCATTAATACTACTATTAATATTTTTCCACTCAGCGTGTATTTAATTGGGGAGTATTCATTTGCTTGTTTGTTTTTGATAGAGGCTAATGCCTTCCTTCCTTTCATAAACTTCTCTAAATCCAAGTTTTAGCCTTTTGCCTATGCTCATGTTTATCAAGTTCAAAGCCTTTCTCTCCAGATCAGATTTTTTTGGTAAGAAAACTATTCAGGTCAAATACTTAAGTCTGGCAAAAAAAAAAAAAAAAAAAAAAAAATTCTACTGGGACTGAGACATATATATAATTTTAAATTTTTATATATATTAATTTATATATACATTTATACATTTATACATATAAACTAATCGCTCCTTCTGGTCTCCTTCCTCTTAATCTCCTCTGAATCCTTCTCTTAGCCAATTCAGGTCCCAGGTCAAAGGTCACCTCCCCTGAGGTGACTCTAGTCACTCTTCAATTCGGCACTGCGGTTTATTTCCTTAACCGACTTCCCACTATGTGCAATGATCTGTTTTAGTCATCTGCCTTCCCCACTAGAATGGTAGCTCTGCAAAGTCAGAAACTTGTCTTGTCCATCACTGTACAGCCGAGCGCCTACTGTAGTTCTTGGCATGTCATTGGTGCTCAATGAGTGTTTGTCAACTGAATGAAAGAATCTCTAACTATGTCCGAGTCTCACTCATTCTAAAAGGAACAAAACAAATTAAATTTTTTTAATAGTTGTTGTTTTCTGCCTTAGGTAGTGACTGAGTTCCGGAAGCGCAATGACTGCATCGCTTAGGGAACCCAGTTCAGGGTGCTGTCAGCGGGGCAAATGCTCGCTGAGTATCTCTGGATAAACCTAAGTGTTAAGATAGTTTTCTCCGGGCAGTTCCTTGTCAAATATTTAGGACTTGAATACTTGATTTTCCTGTTTACCATCCAATTTTATATCAATGGTTTTTTAACACCTGAACCTTTTTATGCTTCCTGTTAATATTGCCTTATAAATCCAAGAAAGAGACGTTCACAGTATTACATCAGAAAATCTCATCACCACTGAGCCAGAGGTTGGTACCTGGCCCTTTTTCCCCACAAAACAACCCAGAATACAATGTAGGGCTCACAGTGAGTGTTCATTAACTTCTACTTGATTAACTTTTTTTCCTCAAGCCACTTTAACACAGTGGGAGGATCTAAAATAAGAAATATCAGAAGTAAAACATTATCAAATAATAGGAACAGGCCTAACTGGTGTGGCTTAGTGGGTTGGGTGTCATCCCACAAACCAAAACATCATCGGTTCAATTCCTGGCCAAGGTACATGCCTGGGTGGTGGGCCATGTCCTCGGTCAGGGCACCTAGGAGAGGCAACTACTTGATGTTTCTGTCTCACATCAATGTTTCTCTCCCTCTCCCCCTCCCCCTGCCTTCCCTCTCTCTAAAAATAAATAAATAAAACCTTTAAAAAAAGGAATAGGGACAATATTTAAATTTAATATTTAGATATTTGGAGCAATGTAATAACTTATAGTTAAAAAACTATAATTTTAATAAGTTATAGTTGCCCTGTTTCTAGGAAAACTATTTTGTCATAAAGCCCATGGACCACTGCCTCCTCTGCATCTGTGTCGTGTCCCTGCCCGACCAGCTCTGCCGAGATGACATCCTCTTGGGGGACGACGGTGGCTTTGTGAACAAATTCACAGTCAATACTGATGACTTTGGATTGAAGCAGGCAAAGTCCAAAAAGAAGTTACAAAGTCAGGTCTTGGACTCAAAGAACTTTAAAAGGTAAGTGGGTACATGGGTATTCCAACTGTTTTAACATAGACATCGTTCAAGTATTTATATAGGAAAATGATGTGTCAGGCCACATGATAAAGATTCGAAACAGAAAACTGAACAAGAAATGCCTCTTACCTCAAGGAACTTCTGACATAAAAGGAAGAAACACAGGAAAATTAACAACTAAAATTCCTATTCTAGGTGCTATTGACAATTAAAATTTGTAGGTACTTGAATAAATTAAAGAGTAAAATAAAAAATTAAATTATAAAAACTATAAAAGCTATATGTGTCTATTTACTAGCACTTGAATATGAAAGAAAAGTCTCAAGAAAAGCAATAGATATAAAACTCAAAGAAAAAGTTTGATAGATTTGATGACATGAAAAAACCTTCAGGCATCAAAAGATAACATTTTTTAATTAAATAAGCTGGTATAAATATTTATAAAAATATGACAGACAATGGACTAATAATACTCTTTAATAGATATTAGAATTCAAATAAAGAAACGATAATTCCCCCCAGAGAAAAATAGGCAAAGGTTGTGAGGAGATAATTTGCATGCACACACAATACAAATTGTCAATAAACATTTCCAAATGCTCATGGCGCAGAAATGCTAACAACAATTATCTTCAACTGATAAAGTTATGAGTGATTTTCAATGCCTTCTTTATACTTGTAGTGTCTCTGAAGATTTTAGAGTAAGACACGTATTTCTTTTAATAGCAGAAAAACAAATTTTGCATTAAATGTGTCCTCTCTATTAATCAAAGAAACAAAATCAGATGTAATTTTTCACTTGAAAAATCAGAAAAGATTAAAAATGGGGAAGATGCTGTGGGACAGGCATTCTTGCATGCTGCTGGCGGTGGAGGTTCAGAGCTGGATCTCTTGGTGGAAAACAACTTGGGCAGATGCATCAAGTGTCTTAATAAATGTATGCCCTGGGATCTGGGATCCCCATGTGTTGAAAGCTCTCAGTATAGCTATCACAGTGTTATTCCTAAGAGTAAAATATCTAGTGTCCAACAATAGGAGAATGATTGATTTAAATGATCAGCATTCATTGGAAAATATAAAAATAAATGGACTCATATAAGATAAAAACAACGTGAAACAAAGTTTTTCATGTGGATGACCAGAATTTTCTTTAGTAAAGGAGATAGTACCAATAGTGGACTGAGATTCTTTTATATAATTTTAAAAATTCTGAACCTATAGCTCAAAATTTGCAGATAATCTTTTATTTTTCCATTTTAAATAAACTAGGTTCTGAAAATTTAGTTAAACAATTAGAAGTGGTAGAGTGCATTGGCTGGTATTATATATGCAGACGTTACCTACGTTCAGAGTTGCAGTTTGGTTAAAGTCAGGCTGAAATGCCAAATGGACACTCAACAGGATGGGTTTGTGTGTCTGACAATCTCACGGAAGCCCTACCTTTTTTTTTCTTTCAATTCCCAGTGTTAAAAGGAAGCTACATAATGACTGGGTTGTGAAAATTAGATATATTTCAACCCTAAACTGCTTTGGATCCTGCTCCTTAGACAGCGTTCATTCATTAGTGTTGGAATCCTTGAAGAGACTTGAGGACAATTCGTAAGTACAATAGTTTATAGACACGAATATTCTGTGACTTTCAGGCTTTCTATTTTATTTTTATTTTTTTTGCAAATTATAAGAGAACGTTTCTTTAGAAATCTGCAGGGGTGGTAGAGGTGGGCCAGCCAAGCTGCGTGGGCTCAGGAAACAAACCTCAGAGGCAGGAGAGGGGCTCTTGGAGCTCAGGGGAGACAAAGGCCAAGGTAACAGGCTGGGGAGGGGGGGTGGCCGTAAAAAGGGAAGCGGGAGAGGCCAGCCATGCTCCCGAGAGGGAGTGCGCCTCACGCTTTTTATAATTCATAAGCCCATGGCAGCTTTGGAGCTTTCAAACTGGGTTTTAGATTCAGATGATGACTCTTCCATCTGTTTGATAAGATTAGATTTGCAGGAAAAAAACTGAAGTTATTCATGCAAATCTTAACGTGAAGGGTCCTCCTGGCAACAACTTGCTGTCTGTTGCTATAATGCACTGGAATAAACAAATGCAGGTGTATGCATAACTACATTTTCCAAATATAGTTCTACGGGTAAAACGGAATAGTTTTAAAATCTGTATACTTTTAATATCATTCTTGCAAGTTAATTGGCTGACCAATAGTGTACAGCACAATTGTCAAGTTCCCATGTGTAATAAATATATGCACAAAGTGGCTTTCTTATAGGCAGCTAAATTTGAAGAGCATGGTTAACTATTAATACCTATTAATATATAGCAACTATATATTAATAGTTATGTTAATATGTGGTAATAGTATATTATTGTAATATATAGTAACTGGAAGTTATTGTATGTTGTCAGTTTTAAAAGTGCATTGAGATATATGCTACAATGTGGATAAACCTCAAAAGCCTTATGTTAAATGATTTCATTTACACGCCTAGGAGTAGTGATGGGGGGACAGGGGTCCCAAGGGGGTAAGGGGACTTTCTGGGGTGATGAAAACGTTCCGAAACTTCTCAGGGTGGTTGTTATACAACTCTGTAGGTTTACTAAAAATAATTGAACCGTGTACTTACAATTTTGTTCAGTGGCCAGCAGTTGGGTTCCTGTGTAGCCAGGCATAACTGGTCTCTCCTAACACTCACTAGCTTTACGGCCTTTACCATTAGCTCTTCTTAGTCTCAACGTTTCCACCTTCAAATGGGAACGAATACACTTACCTTATAATCTTATAGAAGCTACCTAAGTCAACTCGCATGAAGTGCCTGACTTGATGTGTGGCACAATGTGCTCAACAAATATAAGTTTCTTTTTTTGTTTCCTTAATGAAGACACTGAAAAGCATCTAAAAAAAGAATTTGGATAGTGCATCGAACAGGTGGAGCCACCATAGAGCTGTATGGTTTGGGGCCTTGTGTCCTCACATCTAGAATGGGAGTCAGAAAAGCCAGGGCAAGTCTAGCAGGCCATGTGCTTTTGTGATATCTGCTAACAAAGAATAGTTTTTACTCTTTTAAATAATTGAAAAAGTAATATAGCATGAAAATTATATAAAATTCAAATTTAATTGCTCCCAAAGTTGTATGGGAACACAGCCATCCTTTCTCATTTATGTATTATTTGATTTATTATTATTTATTACTCATAAATTATAAATTATTTATTATTATTTATTTATTATCATTATTACTCACTTATGGCTGTTTTTGTGCTACAACAGCGAAGTTGAATAGTTATGAAAGAGAGGCTGTATGGCTAAGTCTAAAATATTTATCTGGTCCCTTAAAGAAAAGTTTGCCAACTTCTGGTCTAGAGTTTTCTATGGCGCCCTCCCTTGGGAATAGTCACAACATACAGTTCAACGGCAGCTGATAATCCAGAGTGAGGACCACACAAAAAAATACCTTTACCCAAGGTATTTTTTTTTTTCATTTACATGCCTAGGAGTGGTGATGTATTCCAGGTATTTAGATCTGGAATTTCTTTTCAACATCGTCAAGGAGTCAATAAAAATGCCTTCTTCCTTGTCCCCCAACCTCACTCCTGCTAACCTCCCAGTGACCAAAATGAGAAAAGATAGAAGGATGCGCTGCTTGCTCAGTGGCCTTGTTCTTAGCGAGCACAGGGTCCCCCTGGGACGCCTTCGTGTCTGGGCGTCCTCTCACATTCACTGAACAACCCCAGTCACGTATCACGTGCCTTTGTGGAGTCACCTCTTTATCTTTCAACCGATGACCCACTTCGCTCTCCAGGTCGGAGGTCACATGTGCAGCCACAGGGAGAACTGAGATGAAGCAGCTGTAATTCAGGCAGGGTCCTTTGACAGCAATGCGTTTTGGGTTTTTTCCTCCCATTTTGAAAAAATTGCTGGAAAATGTTTCTTTTTCAAAAGTGCTATTATATCAAGGGTCTCAGGGAAAAATTTGAAGGGAACTTTCCATAATCAATACATTTTTTTTCCTTGGGACTCTGGAAAGTGATAACTAGGTATTTGTTCCTTAGGGGTATTCAAACAAATATTTATTGGGAGCTTTTTATGTTCAAGTCCCATGGTATCTACAATTAATTTTGCTCCAGGATAAACAACACGGGCCAACATCTATACTAAGATTATATGATAGGTGCCATATGCTTTAAGGAGAAAGAACATGGTACTATGAAAGAAAATAACACAAAACACATTGTTTAGTTGGTAGGGGTAGGATGGTGAAGTTTAGGAAAAGCCTTTCTGAGAAAATAACACCTGTAGGAAGGTGGTTGTTAACATGGTTCGGATCTGGGAAGAAGAGCATCTTCAGCCTGTGCAGAAGCTCTTGAGGAGGGAAGAGCTCAGTGCAGCCAGAAAGGAGGCTGATGAGAACAGTGTGGCTGCATCATAAAGTGCAGGGACGAGGAGGGCATGGGGTCAGCCCAGAAAGTGACAGGGACCCCCTGGGCCAGGTGAGCCAGGTGAAGGAATAGAGGGTCCTTCTTAGAGCCTCGGGAGGCCACTGGAGGCAAGAGGTGGAATCTAATTCATGCTTTGCCCAGATCACTCTGGCTGCAGCATGACGATGGGATTCGGCGTGGGGACGGGAAGGGAGGATGGGCGATTGTGGGAGCTGAGAAATTAGCAGTTCATTGCAGCGTCTCTGTAAGAGAAGATGGAGGGTTGACCTAAGATAGTGCGGTGCGAATGGGAAGAAATAGTGAGTTTTCAGGTATTTTTTAGAGGCGAAGGCAACAGGACTTGATAGCTGGTTGGACGTGGGTGGTAAGAGAGGAGAAATGTCCAAATGCCTCCCTGACACACATGCTACCAATGGGCTCACGTAGCCACCCAGCGTCCTTTGTGGACTGAGACGTGATCTAGCTCCGCCCCTCCTCACCGCCAGCATAACCACCGCAAGGAGGAGGGCCGGAAGGTGTGTTCTTTAGATCTCCTCTTCTTTACGTTTTATTTTTTAATTAAAGTTTACATTCAATATTATTTTGTTTTAGTGTCGAGTGTACGACATAGTGCTCAGACAATCACATACTTTACAAAGTGACAGCCGTGATACTTCCAGTACCTGCCTGGCACCCTATATAGGCATTACCGTTTTACTGACCATATTCCCCGTGCTGTTCTTTACGTCCCCGTGACTATTTTGTGACAACAATTTGTACTTCTCCATCCCCTCACCTTTTTCTATTTTTTTGAATTTTTAAAAATTGTTTATTCCATTACTCCCTCACCTTTCTCATTCAGTCCCCCAAATCCTGTTCCCTTCAGATATTTTTTATTAAGTAGAAATAATATAAAGTGTTGTGCTAATATCACCACATTTTGGAGTAAATGGATTCTGTGAGTCAGTGAGGATTTAACAATTACAATATTTTCCGTGGGTAAGTGGATTTATAACCAACTGAGAAATAAACCTATGGAACATTATTTATAAATATGAATTAGCTTCATACAGGCAAACATAGGTCTTACATCGGATTTGTGTTTCCCAGGCCTGTTAGAGAGTTTTCCATGCCAAGAGGAGCAAACAGTTTTTGTTACTGTGTAAAAGCAAATATCATTGTCACTGGAGGTAAGAGAACAGTTCATATTGCACAGAGATCTGCTTAATTAACATAGTTATAGAATTTCCATAAAGTTGTGGAATTTTGCTGCTGGAAAAACCTTTTAGAGAATTTTAAAATGTATATGAAGTCATATCTGTCGTCTTGTGTGTGTGTGTGCATGTGTAGGGGGGGGCACGTGTGTGTGTAGCTTCTGCGTTCTCAGAAACGCTTTGCCCTGCCCAAGAATATGTGAAACAAATTCTCCTGTATTTTACGGTGATTTTTTAACTGTCTTCTTTTATATTTTAGCTGTAGTCCTTTAATGTATCAAGAACTTATTTCAATGTGTGAGAACACATGTTCTTAGCCTGGGACCCATGCGTGGCCTTCAGAGGAATCTTGTCGCCCCTGAACCTGAATGCCAGTTGTGTGTCTACGTGTATTTTTCTGGAGAGAAAGTTCAAAATTTATCAAATCATCAAAGGGGATCCAGAACCCAAAAAGTCAAGAGCCCACGGTTTAGAGTTCACAGAGGAGAGGACCATGGATAGAGCCTTTATAAAAATGACAACATTTAAGGGCTGAGGAGGGTAGGAGATAGGAGACCAGGTTATCTGCCGAGAGTAAGGGAGGCCAACGTGATGGGCTGAGAAGCAGGCGAAGGTGGGGGACGGAAATGCTCTTCGAGCCCCAGATTCCTGCTCTGTCACTTTGGGGTTCTCTGAGCCTGGGCTCTGGAGTCAGATGGTTTAGGTACAAACCTGGCTCTCTTACTGGCAAGCTGTGTGGCTTTGGGCAGGTGATTTAACTCCTCCAAGCTTCAGTCTCATCTGTAAAGTGCGGTTGACAATAGTACCTATTCATAAGGTTATTAAAATAATTAAATAAGTTCAGATAGAGTACTTAGCACAGTGTCTTGCACATAGCGTTCACTACAAATTTGCTAATAATAATACTCCAATAAAAAGGGGTCACCCACTTCCCATGGCAATGTTTAGATTGAGCTGAGGTCATGTGGATCTGGTACATAGTAGGTTCTCAATAAATATTAATGCAATCTATTTACAACACCTAGGCAAAATTACTCTGACATATGTGCGGAGGCTTTGTTGGAATAAAATGCAATCTGAGATTCCATTTAGGTAGTCATGAGATAGATGGTAAGAATAAGACTCTGGATTATTGTAGGTGCTATGAGGGGGAAAAAGAGCCAGTCTCAAAGACATGGGAAATAAATTATTCCTAAAACCTGGAGCTAGAGTGGTATTGGGGATTAACAAGAGGGATCAGCCAGCTCTGCGTTTGTAAGGTGGGAAAATGGCAGTTGTGCTGATGGTCACACAGGATGAGGAAGAGGGAGCTCACACGGGGAAGGAGAGCAGGCAAAACTCAGTTTTGAACTTGACCATCAAGCGCTTGTTAGAATTCCAGGAGGCTACTGCTTTGATGGGAAAAGGCCTGGCTGGAGACAGCGGCTGTAAGGACTCAGAGGGCGGCTGCATGTGGGAGGAGAGGGGCCCCCCACACCCTGAAGCAACACTCCCAGGTCAGGGTCACCTCCAAGGACACAGAAGACAGGGAGACTTGAAAGAAGTAAATGAACAAAACAGAAACCCAAACAAACATCAAGAAAATGGCCTCGACTGCAGATCTCTATTTTTTTAAAAAAAAAGTAAGAACAAAAAACATTTTTTTAAGAGGAAAACTTACTGGAAAAAAACAAGTATACCATTTGGTAAGAGTTTAGAGCAAGAGTGTTTATTAAAGAAGCCGAGACGTTAAATGAGTAAGCGCTGTTGGCCCTCCCCGTGTATGATTTCTTCACATCCCTCTTCCCCTGCCCAGCGTATCCTCCCTCAGCCCGAAGTGCGCATGGTGACCAGGACAAAGGTAGCTGCCTCTCACTTCGTGGCTGGGTAATCTCCCGGAGGGAATCGATTTCGTATTTTTTTTTTTTTTAGTACACTGTGTATTTGAAGTTATATTTAAATCTCTTCTTGGCTTTGAGGCCTCTACAACACTTACTTAAAATTAACTTTAGGAGCAAATACTTTTGTATTATAGTCTATTAAAAAGCAAAACAAATAAAAATCATGGCCTAAAAGCTAGGAGACCTAGGTGTAGTCATAGCCTGGCAACAAACCAACCCCGTGGTGTTTGATTGTTCCTTAATCTCTCCCTGTTCCCATTTTCCTATTGGATAAAATGAGAAACTTGGACTACCTCAAGTCTAGGATCCCTTGGAGCTTAAAATACTCTGATGCCGTGGTTTAAAGAGATTCTTATTCATAGGGACATAAACTACAGTGTCCTTTGGAAAATTTGGATCCCAGTTTGCCAATTAGATGTTATTTGATAGAGTGTCGCGGCTTTGGGTATTCTGGAAAACAAAGCATTAATTGGCCAGACTTCTAAATTTCAACTAAGGACATCAAGAAAAGTGGATAAGAGGTATGCAGAGTAGAACGTGGGAGTCTTGGCTTGGACTGGCAGCAAGTTTTCTGAAGCTTAGTTGTGATGATTCCAAGAACAAATTGTACTCATTAAGGTTCTCATTAAAGACCTCCATGCTACGTCTAAAACACGTAAGGGAATAGATAGCAAAACTAGATGTTTTCCAGAAAAGAAGTGGAAGGTGTGTGTCACAATTTCTCGATCGCCTTTGCCCCCTCCTGAGTTGATAACTGTCTTGGATCGTTACTTGCAGTGGAAATGGGCAGAGTCCCCGGCCTGGACCCCATGCCTGAAGGAGGTGATGGGTGCTCCAAGAGATGACGGAAGGGGAGCGTGGGGGCGGCCCGGGAAGAAGCAGGAAAAGGCCTGACAATCAAACAGCGACGGATGCCGCACTCATTGCTGTGTGTCTCAATTAGCTATTTTTACCTACTTCTCCTCAAACCTTGCACACAAAACCCTTTGAAAAGGCAATAGTTAAATATGGGGCTACAGTGAGACTTGATTCCTAAAAGCTGATGGTGCTAAAATGTCATGCTGCCATATAGATCTGAACCAACTCCTTTGCACAGCCCGTGGCTCTCACAGAAAAGAACACAAACCAGGAGAATGGACTCGCTTTCGTGTACGTCGTAACCCTAAGTACTGCAGGCATTTCTGGGGCGTTCAGACTGCTTCACATGGATTAAGGCATTTGACCCCCATTAACCTCAGTGTTCATTGTATTCTAAGATCCCCATCTACAGCTTTGAAAACTTATTAATGGCAGCTTTCTAGCTCTCTTACAATGGCAAAGAACATAGCAGTATGACTGAAAAACGGCTAATACTTTTCCCCACGCATAATTTATTAAATTATCACAGTTATGAAGCCTCTATTAGTAGAAAAGACAATCCTCAGTAATTGAACTCACGTTTTTCTCAGGAGGATACTCTTGTTGACGAGGGACTCGGCCAATCACATCGCTGAATGATCTGCATGTACCAGCTGACGACTCAACATATACCAAGAAAGCAGCTCTACTAGCCTTAATTAAATGTGGTAAACGTGCAGGGACATTTGATGAGCTTGAAAAAAAATACAGAAGCATTTGCTGGGGTGGAAAAGAGAGAAAGAAGCCAACCTGGGACAAGATATTCACAAAAGAAAAACAAAAAGGAAGCCAATTTCCTGAGCATTATTTTCATGACCATCAAAAATTCTTTAGTCAATAGTTGTCTCTGTCAGCCACTTTAAGGATCAAACTCCTACTTGGAAAGGTCAAGTGTTTAAAAGCAATTCTCTGCCAGGCAAGATACCTTAGGGGCTTTGCATATATTTGTTAATGTTTCATTCAAGACATTGATTGCACAGCTGCTTGGGACTAGGTATTGTAAAGCTCATAAAGATCAGATTGTATTTCTAACCTTAAGAATTCGAAATCTAATGGTACAGATAAGACATGTTTCTAAATGGTTCTCATACAAAGTGGAGCATGAGTCAACAGTTAATAATAATAATAATAAACACAGATGGAATACTGTATGCATTTAGAGCTTAGTATCATGTTCCTTCCTGCTTATTCTGGCTCCAAAAAGCCACCACACAGACTGTGTATAGATTCTATTACTATCAACAGAAAGCAAGCAAAGCTGGAGGACCTCTGGCAGAAGATAGCAGAAAACCTCTGGAAGATTGGGTTTCCTTGGCAACGTGCATTGGAAGTAGCCCTTAGTTTACGAGCCCTGGACGTTTTTGAGGTGGCAGTCCTCAATTGGATCCTTCTTGATGCGACACATAAGTAGGTGACAGATTTTCTGCTGGAGATAGCCTGGCCTCATCCTCCAGAAGTGACCTGCCCATTCCAGGGCTGCTCCAGCCAACATGATCTAGAACTATCTGTGAACCCGAGCCTTGGGATTCTGAATATACCTGAGTACTGTCTTGTGACACTTCTTGGCCATTGTCAGTGAAAAGCACATGCAGGCAAGATATTGCATAATCGGAAGTATTCAGTTTGAATCACGTAACTGCTAATCTGGAGTGTTTCTCACTACCTGAAGAAGTTTCAGATTGCTCTCTACTCTCACTGTAGTAATCTCTTCCTCCGGAGCACACAGTCATAAAACTTGAGAGCCAGAAGGAATCTTGGAGATCAAAATTTTACAGAGAAGGAAATGAGGTCCCAGTAAAGGAAGTGATTGGCCAGAACTCACACAGCTGGTTAGCTCAGGGATTTGAGCTGGACTTAATGCCCTTTGCTCTAGCCCCTGTCCTTCTTGTCCTGTCTGGGGACAGTAATCTGGTCCACCCCAGACTCTCCCTCCCTTACTTTTCTCCCTGAAAAGTCCACTCATCTCATCAAGAGTGATGTGTTTTGGTCAGGCGAGTCATCAACTGAAATAAGAGCTTGCTAAAGGACAGAAATCCTACCTTTTATGTGTGGCCTTATTAAAATCCTGGTTTAACAGCAAAATAAAAGGCAATGAATGGAAAATATCAAAGAAACAGGAAGTCAGCACCTTATAAACCATAATATATTATTTATAGTATAATGTCCTATCCTCCGATTTGATGTCTTTTCTATGGTTTTTTACTTTACCCGTGTGTCTTTCGCCCTTGCCATACTACTGCTAGGTTACAAACTCTCAAGGGCAGGGGCCACGTTTCATTTGTCTGTGTCTCAATTCCCCTTCTCTCCCCCCAGACATTTTACAAAATGAATTGTACCTGGCAGGGACTTAGAATAGTAGTAGTAGTCGTAGTAATAGTCAGTTCACGGCCCAGAAACTGTTCAGAGTTACACATGTATGGCCCTGGCTGGGTCGCTCCGTTGGTTAGAGCATTGTCCCCATGTGCCAAGGTTGCAGGTTTGATCCCCCATGAGGGCACATACAAGAATCAATCAATGAATGCATAAATAAATGGAACAACAAATCATTTCTCTCCCTCTTTTTCTAAGATCAATTTTAAAAATTAAAAGAAAAATTTACATATGTGTGATCCACTTAATCTTCACAATAAAGCTGTGACACCAGTTCCATTTATCCCCATGACATAGATAAAGAAACTTAGACACAGGGTAGTAAAGTGACTTAACTCGAAGTCCTAAAACCAGTAAGTGAGAGAGCCAGGTTCGAAACTGAGGCAGACTTACTTAAAATATATATTTTTAACCACTTCATGAGTGACTCTACTAGCCAACTAATTTACTAAACAATCATGTATGAAACACCATTTGTCAAACACTGCTATAAATGAGAAATATAATGCTCACCAGATAATGGGTAAAATAGATGGACGCAAACAACTAAAATTGAATAGAATACACGCTTTAAAAAAAATCTGAGAAAACACCCTAGCAACAGGGAAGAAGTCTGAACGTGATCTGAGGCTGGGGAAGGCAATCAGAAAAGGATTTAAGGAGGCTTTTGAAAAAGTAGACTTTTGACAGAGTCAACATGTAGAATTTCATTGTATGCTCAGCAAAATGCCAAACATACAGTAATTTCTCAAGACATTATTTCTTCTTGTTGTTAATAAGGCTACCATGGAAGTTTTCAATTTAATAAAATATCCCACTTATACATGGACAATAGTCCTTAAAATACTTGGCTGCTGTCTTGGTCAGCCCAGGCTGCCATAACAAAGTATCATAGACTGGAATGAGTGGCTCAAACAATAGAAATTTATTTCCTCACACTTACACTATGTCTTATGCCAATTATATCTCAATAAAGCTAGCAGGAAAAAGAAAGCAATCTTCCCTTTAATCTACATATAATAACAAAATGACAAATCTACTCTAGGAAATTTTAATCTGGTCTCTGTCTCTGTCCATTCAATACGGTGGGCTGTAATTTCTTGGTAAAAATTCATATTAAAACAATGATTTTGCATTTTGTCAACATTTATAACACATTTTTAGGTGCGTGTCAAAGATAAAAATTAGTGACAGTGATTTGTTGTTGTCGAGATATGGTAATCTTCCTAATTTAAAGTATTTAAATATGAATGGAAAGTGTGATTCTTAACTCTAAAAACAGTTAATTTGTAAGAAAGAAAAAAATTTAACAGTGGGTTTTTATTGGGGGTATAATTAGAGATTATGGGGGGGAAGATGACTTTTTTTTAGTAAAAAATTGTACTCTTCCATATTATATAAATCTTTTACCATGTACCTGCATGATTTTAACAATTAAAAAATAGTATCTATGCTATGATAGTACCTACATATAAATTATATATGCTTATGGATATATATGTTAGAAAGGAAGATCGGAAAATGAAAACAGTTAATTTGTTATAATGGTATAAATTATGTGGAGTTTTCCTCTTCCTTTGATTTCTTCTCTGATTATGATTTTTGTACAATTTAAGAACGTGAAAACAAAAGAACAGCTGCCTTAAATGCTTTGGGGAAGTAAATAAAGAATGAATAATACATTAATGCATGAATGGGTAGGAAAGTACTGAATCAAGAAAAGAACTCAAGTATTTATGAGAATGCACATTTGTATGTGTAAATACAATTCTTATAAAACAACTTTGATGAGAAGCAGATCCAAACAAGGCTAGCAAGCTCTTAGCAAGTCCCAGACTGTATCTTGGAAAAGATAGGCTGGGATTTGCTATTAGAAGGAAGATAAGGATATGATTGAGTGAGAGACAGATTCTTTTTTCCCATCTTCATTGACATATAACATTGTACAAGTGTAAGTTGTACAGCTTATTGATGTGCTATGCTTTTATATTGCACAATGATTACCACCAAAGTTTCAGCTAACACCCCCATCATGGCACATTATTACCAGTCTTTTTATGGTGAAAATATTTAAGATCTACCCTCTTGGCAACTTTGAAGCCTATAATTTGGTATTATTAACCACAATCACCATTCTGTGCATTAGATGCTCAGAATGTCTTTACCTTATGACTCCAAGTTTGTACACTTGGACCAACACCGCCAAGAGATATCTGCACTCCCCATGTTCATTACAGCATTAGTCATATTAGCCAAGACATGGAAACAACCTAAGTGTCTGTCAACAGACGAATGGATGAGAAGATGTGGTGGTACATTATGTACAAGGGAAAATTGTTCAGCATTGAGAAAGAAGGAAATCCTGCCATTTGTGACCACATGGGTGGACTTTGAGGGCATTATACCAAGTGCAATAAGTCCAACAGAGAAGGATTAATACTGTATGATTATATATATAAACTGAACTTATAGAAACATGGGCTGGGGGTGGAGGAAATGGGGAGACACGGGCTCTTTAACCTGTGCCCGCCTGTATCCCTGAGAATATAAGCAACTGTGCCATGTCCTTTCCAGGGGATGACAAAATGCTCCGGTTGTGGCACCCCAATATCAGCACCAAGCCGGTGGGGAAACTTGTGGGACACATGTTCAGCATCATCGAGATCGTGACCAATGAGAAAGATCAGCTCGTCATCAGCCTCTCCTCTGCCAAGGTAACGGGAAGGAAAAACAATGTCAAAAAAAGCTGTTTGTTTCCCTTGAAATCAGCTACTGGGAAATCTAGAATACAGACAGTGTTTGACTGAAATAGCTGGCAGCCGCTGAGAAAAATATTATCAGTGTGGAGGAGGAAATGAGGAGCCACTGTTCTGTCTCCACTGAATACAGCACAAGGAAGGACACGTTTGAAGAATAGAAAGAATGCAGATCTGGGAAGAGAACAATCATTCTCCTCGACAGCCAGACACAAGAGGCCCTTCCCATTGCAGACACGGGCATCATCATTCGGTGCAGAAAAAATTAGGATTTCTGTTATTGTGGCTGTCATCAGTGTTTTAAATGTTCTAACCCATGTGATAAAATAAGAAAAAAAAATAGTTATAAATATTGTAAATGAGGAGGCTAAATTATTCTATTTGCAGATAATGGGGTTTCTTTAAAAATGTAATAAAATCAGCTCAAAATTTTAGGACAAGTTGAATAAGGTGGCTGGTTTTATAATGGCAAGTTATAAAAATAAATTTCTATGTAAGAGCAGTAACCAGTTGGGGAAAAAAATGGTCAAATGGAGAGCATTTACAAGGAAAAAGAAGTAGGAAATACTTAAAAATAACCTTAACAAGCAATACTCACTGTTAATGTGAAGTAACTATGAAGTTTTTCCTGAGGTACTTGTATTTAAGAACACTTGTATTTAAAAAAAAAAAAAAAAAAAAGAACACTTGTATTTAAGAACATGGGACTATTGTACTGTAAGACAGGGGTCCCCAACCCCCGGGCCATGGCTGGGGACCAGCTTGTGGCCTGTTGGGAACCAGACCGCACAGTAGGAGTCGAGCTTGAATGTAATGCGCTCGAATAATTCCTAGGCTAACCCACCCCCACCCCCAGTCCGTGGAAAAATTGTCTTCCACGAAACTGGTCCCTGGTGCCAAAAATGTTGGGGACCGCTGCTGTAAGATATACCCCAACAAATTAAGCTCTGCATTTAATGAGATTCAGGGTTATGTAAATATCAGTTGTCCAAGGTTCACGTTTGCTAGCTGGAGAAGGGTGTTGGGAGGAAATTGGAGATGATAGGAAGCGTGTGTTTGGATGCACAGACACCAGAAAGAGAGAGGGTTTAGGAAACTGGAAGCAGTTTCATCTGACAGTAACAAAGAAGGTGTGTGGGAGAGGGTGCAGAAAAATCCAGAGGGCAGTTGCTGCATGGTAACGAAGATCTCCATGCCTCTGCCCCCTCGGCGGTCCCCGCCTCCCTGAAGCCCCCGGGACACCAACAGGACTGAACACTGAAGAGGGGAGAGATACGAAAAAATAGAATTACTCTATGAGAAAAAAAATCACAGATTTCAGAACACATTCACATCGATGCAATAAGGTAGAGCTTGTTGGTGTTATAGAGTCCCTTTTAGACACATGAAAACTGAGGTTTAGGGAATTCAGTGATAGGCTCGAGCTGAAACCCTAATCTTTTGCCTCATCCTTTGCCCCCTCTGCCAGCCACAGGTCAGAGTGCCCCCAGGGGAGTTAGAGAGACTGCCTGCTGGGAAGGTATCCCAGCCAAAGCAATAACATGAGAAACAACTTGAATGGAGACCAGTTTCTATGGCACTTCTTGATTCCACTTCTGCTGGCCTCTCATTTAGGCTCTGAACCTAAATTCATAAATAGTCCTTTACATTTGTTTACTCTATGATGCAAAAGACGGATAAGGTTCGGTGTTGTAGCTACTCCCTCAAAATATGCGTGTTAGTAGGACAAGGAAGTACAAGTTCTAAGTAATGCTGGCCTACAGGGAGCATACCTAGGACGAAAGCTCTTCACCGGTGTTCTGCGAGTCACGTGACTTCGACATCCTCTGCTCCTACACATGTGGACCACCCTGCAACGGTGAAGTTTTTAACTCAGTTCGCTACAAGTGTCTCAAATAAGAAGTTAGTATCTCTGTTAACAGAAGTACTTATTAAAGCTTTCTGTGCAGTTTTAGCCTTTGCGACAGCAGGGATGGACCTGGAGAAAATTATGCCAAGTGAAATAAGCCAGTCAGAGAAAGACAAATACCATATGATTTCAGTCATACGTAGACTCTAATGAGCAAACTGAACTAAAATGCAAACTAAAGACAGACGCATAGATAGAGAGCAGGCTGGCAGCTCTGGGTGGGGGCAGGTTAGGGGGTGGAGGGATTGGGCTAAAAGGAAAAAGGACTCGTGGACACAGACAGCAGTGCGGTGACTGGGAGGGTGCAGGTAGGCGGGTGTAAGGGGACTAAGTGGTAATGAAGGTAATGGAAGAAAATTTAACAATAAAATGATCGTATTACTCAACAAAGATTCTAACTTAATAGTTTAATCATAATGACTATAATATGGAAATACTTAAAGCTGATGCATGCTAGGAGACATAATTCTTGATGAAATCACACTTATTGCCAAAATTCAATTACATTGTAACTTGCTTTAAAAAGCAAACCAGCCCTGACTGGTGTGGCTTCCTGGTTTGAGCGCCGGCCTGTGAACCAAAGGGTTGCCGATTCGATTCCCAGCGCCGGGCACATGCCTGGGTTGCGGGGCAGGTCCCCAGTGGGGGGCGCTCAGGAGACACCCACACATTGATGTTTCTCTCCCTCCTTTTCTCTCTCTAAAAATAAATAAATAAAATCTTTTTAAAAAATAACTAGGAGATGAAGAAAACAAAGACCAGTTATTTCAAGTGATGAAGGGCAAACTTGACCTAGTTTGTTGAATTAATTCTTTCTAGTCTCTTTTATCAACCCAAGTTATAGTTCAGTATTATGTAGTTCTCTTTCCTTCCTCAAAGGAGAATTCTGATAACCTATTTCCCCACACTCTTACTATATTTACACCATCCTTAAAAACTACTTTCTCTAATCCTAGCATGCCTGGACAGGAAGAAGGGGAGGTTCTTAAAATCCTCATTTAGTAATGTCTTCCCATCTTCTTAAGTCATGAGAGAGCAACTTGAAACACTCCACCTAAAGTTCATCTTCCATCTGTTTTCTAATCTCTGGTACAAAGAGAAACACGACTTCCATTGCATTGTAAGTCATAGGAGTCTTTTATTATTTCTCCAAATACTTATTTTTTAATTTGTATTGATTGATTTTAGAGAGAGAGAGAAAAGGAGAGGGAGAGGGAGAAACATCGATTTGTTGTTCCACATATTTACACACTCATTGGTTGCTTTTTGTATGTGTCCTGACTGGTGCGTGATCAAACCCGAAACCTTGGCGTATCAGGATGATGCTCTAACCACTGAGCTGCCTGGCCAGTGCTCCAAATTCTTAAATAAATCCTCTGTTTTCCCTTCCCTTCTGTAATGATACAAAAATCAAGTTCCTTTAAGCAAACATTTAATCACTGCTGTTTTCCTCGGATATTAATGAACAATAACTGAACCAGGAGTCCAATAAGAGTTCAGCAAATGTGTGCTCGTTGTGTGAGACATTCATTGCTTCAAGTTTTTAGGAGCATATTGCAGACTCTGAAAATGCTTTACATAAACAGCTTTGAGTGGAGAGGGCAAAGTGTCACAGTGGTGAACTGTGTTCTTTACTCTGCCAGGTTTTCAGGGTGTGGGATATCCAGACTCTGTCACTATTACAAGTCTTCCACGACAGCCAGGGAGGCCCCGGAGACATGCAGATTTATTCCATGGTCTATGATTCCAATCATGGCATGCTTATTGCAGGTAAGCGCCCCCAGCTAATGGCAAACAAAACTCATACCTTAACTTTTAACTGGTATTTTTCTTAACTAGCACCTGAGCACAAACCAGAAGAAAAACAAAACTGGAAAGGAGATGTATAAACCATGATTTATCACAACAGATACTTCATCTAATTCCACTTCCTCCTGTGTGTTCATGGCTGGGATGAAAGCCACGGCGGGGGGTGGGGGGGCGATACAATGTGTAGCTGACCTTCTGTGAAAATACCACGGCAGGGCTCCAAGCTCCTGGACCTAGAGAGACGTGGTGCGGGTCCAGCAGAAATGTGGGGTGTGCCCTGCTGGGAAGGCAAGGTCAACTCAGCTCGGTTTTGACGCTGGGGAGCAGGAATATGGTCCCTCTTAAAACGGGTGCACCGCTTTCTTCAGTGAGGTAGTTTGGTCCCTGACACTGATACTGAGACACTGGTTACTTGGTAGGAAGGATGCTGAGCCTCCCACCTGCCTTTGCTGCTGGACAAAGAACAGCAGAGAGAGAACAGATGCACGAATGACAGATCCCCAAGGCTGATGCCAGCAGATTCCTTTCCTCCTTTTCCTGTTGCCTCTTGGAAACATGTGCTTACTAAGGAGACAAATACTAAGCATTTGCTTACCCTCAGGCTTTAGGAGAAAAATGAACCGTATTAATAATTCATCTTCCTTCTGGAACACCAACCCAAAATGCATTTCCTAAGCATTTTCCCAGTGACCACCTGCTCTGACTTCCCATGGGGTTAATTAGGGCAGGGAAGCGCTTGGTGCTTTTGCTGGTGGAGAACATCATTATTTTTAACTTCTGTGTTTTTTTCTGGATAACATCCTAAAAATTGCAAGCAGATTTTCTCTGTTAGTGCCTCAACCTGCGTGTTTGATTACTGGGCTCCTCATTTCCATCCCATTTATCATCAGAGTAACTGAGGACTCAAGTATTAAGACAAAAAAAGGGACAGAAAATCAAATTTTCTTCCCAATTTTATGTAATCGTGATAATATTTTGCTTATAAAAATATAGAGCTCTGACCCTGGCTGGTTAGTTCAGCTGGTTAGAGCATGGTCCTGATATGCCAAGATTGTGGGTTCGATCCCCGGCCAGAGCACTTACAAGAATCAACTGATGGATGCATAAATAAGGGAAACAAGAAACTGATCTCTTTCTCTCTTTCTTCCTCTCTCTCTCAAATCAATAAATAAAAATTAAAAATATATAGAGTTCTGCATATTACCTAATCACTAATATTGCATACATTGACTGCAACTGTCAACTTGACATCAGAATTACATGAAGTTTATTTCTCAATTTTTCATTCATGCTTCGATTCGAATGAAGCATCTGATGTAATCTTCTAAATCACATTCTGGGACCCCTACATAGAATATGCTGTGGTACTATTGCTGTTATTGTTATTACTCCTATAAGACAACTACCAACTGTATAGTTCTTTTACAAAGTGCTATCATGTGCTTCAGGCCATGTGATCTGCACAGTCGCCATACGAGGCTGGGATTATTATTTATCCTATTTTATAACTGACAAAAGTGAATATCACACTGTTCAACTGACTAGTAGAAAGATAGAAGGTCAATCCAAAAGCTTCTAACCCTGAAGCCACGTTCCTTCTCAGCATGTCATTATTTTCACAGCAATAGTATAATGAGCCAAAAAGGGAGGGGAATTGCACTTGTTCATGCTGATCTAGATTTGCAGATGTCACTGTCAATATAATGTTAAAGGGCCCTGGCTGGTGTGGCTCAGTGGATTGAGTGCTGGCCTGCAAACCAAAGGGTTTCTGGTTCGATTCCTGTGCTCCTAGAGCACATGCCTAGGTTGCAGGCCAGGTCCCCAGCACGGGGAGCGCAAAATGCAACCGCACATTGATGTTTCTCTTCCTCTCTTTCTCCCCACTTCCCCTCTTTAAAAATAAATAAATAAAATCTTTAAAAATATACACATAATGGTAAAGGATCTACCAAGAAGCTTCAAGTGTTATTTGACTAGCTGGCTACCATATTCCTATTTCTATATTGAGATGTTTGAATTGAAAAACATTCCCAGAAGAGCCGTCAGTCTTTCACACATGAATACATTTTACCTTAAAATGTAAACACCTGAGAAAAAAGTGTTTAGTAACTTGTAACTCCCACTGAAACCTTTCCTAAAGTTGAGATTTCTTTGGATAGACTTGAGAAACTCAACACAAAGGAAAAAAATTACATCAAACATAGGAAAGAGATTTAATTTTTGTTTGCGCTATGGGATGCTTTGGGGTTCTTATTTCTATTTCCAGACATTACACTCAACCAGGATACACAGCTTGTTGCTTTTGAGAGTTAATGCATACTTGCAGATTACCATATCACTGTAAAGCTGAATCAAACACCCTTAGAATTCATGTAAGGAATGCCTGCTCTCCATCTACCTCACTATGGTGATGTGGAAAATAATCTTATTTAATATTAATGTTACAAGCACTGACTTGCAATCGTTCTCATTGCTTAGACTTAATAAGACAATGTTTACCATGTTTTTTTTTTTAACATTTGTTAGTTGAAAAGGGCTCTCTAACAGTAAGTTCTAGTCACTGAATGGCAGCTTACCTGCCAATTCCATCTCCCTTATTATTCTCCACCAGATGGAGTGTGCGCTGTAAGCGCTCTAAATAGGAAAAAAGGAGACTATAAAAACAGGAAAAAAAGAAGTCACTGAAAAGAGGTTATTAGTGAACTCCAAATGGCCTCCATGCACTTGAAAATCATGAAGCCCAAAATGAATGCTTTTCTCTGACTGACTAAATGATATTTGTTCTATTTATCAAAATTGTTGTAGAGTAAATGAATATATTTTAATTTCATTAGAGTTCCTAGGCATTGATATTACTAATCTCACTGATTGGCTGTTTACAAATACAACTGGTTGGATAAAACCCTTTGTGATGCAAAACTTTCATATTGAGTGTTTATGAGATTCTTATTTCTGTTTCAGGATCTAGTGTTATAGACATGTATCCTTTGACTAGGATGATACAAGATACAAAACAGGTCCCTCATACTCACGAACGAGAAATCAATGTCTTGCTTTACAACAAATGTTTTCACCAAGTACTTACTATCTGCTCTGAATCCATAATTAAGGTAAGCATATACTGACTCTTCAAAAAGAAAAAAAAAAGGCAAAGCAGATAGAATTTTCTCTTCTTACTGGTAGGTCTTTGAGTGATTAAGTAAATGTAGTGGCATGTATGATAAGACCCTACATTCGATCTATTTTTAAGCTTTCACAAACACATTAAAAAACAAGTATTTTAAGCTAGCTCAAACTGTGTGCAATTAAGTCACATGATCAATTAAATAAATAAAGCTAGTTGTTATTATCAAAATAATATATACTATATTTTGCCATGTATAATGCACTTTTTTGTCCAAATTTTTGAGGGAAAAAGAATGTGCATTATACATGGGTAGTAACTTTGTATTTGTATAAATTTTTAAAATTCTCTTATTTAAGCTTATGCATTAAAAGTGTAACTCTAGAAAGCAATAATATCTGTATTAAAATACAGATATCTGTATGCAACATACAATAATACAAAAAACAAATATCAAAATATAAATAAATAAATTGAATTAAAAATTAAAACAAAAGATATTTTTTCCTCTGAAAGTTGGGGCCAAGAAATGTGGGTACGCATTATACATGGCAAAATACAGTAGATACACTATGTATGAGCAATTTTTTAAAAACTGTAAATGCTATGTTAAGAACAAAGGGAAAGAACTGATAGATGTTTCCTAGAATCCCTATAGGTGCAGGCTATGTGCCAAGCGCCTTAAACCCATGACCCTAGCGAATCCTTACAGTAATTCTCTGCGGACAGATAGAACTCTACTTGAAAGGGGAGCAAACAAGAGCTCAGAGAGAGCAAGCGCCAGGCCTGGGATATGAACACAGGCTTGTCTGATGTGAATACCTATGACCTTTCCTCCGCATTCCTCTGGCCCTGCCATTCCTGTGTTCCGTAAAGGCCAGGGTTTGTGGCCGTGTGCTTGCGTCCACGGCCGGCACGTAGCAGTAGTGGCTGGGCGTCTTCGCTTCAAGTGTTCGTCCTTCCATTCCGAGTGTGCCCTCTGGGAGGAGACGTGCGCTGCTGGGGAGCCTGCCTCTGGAAACCCTTCCAGTCCCCTCGATGTCTCTGACCTTCTTTGCACATCTGCTGGAGAGTTTCTCAGGCCCAAAGCTCATGCCTATCCCTTAATTCTGGTAATGCCTAGGGAGTAGGCAGAGGGAAATGAAAACGAAAGCCTGTTCTGCTTTCACGCGGTGGGACTCTCCGTCTCCCCTGGGGGAGGAAGACTCTAGGTGAGTTTTCCATACCTGATGGGTCAGAGGGGGATGCTCCTCAAGCCAGGAGATGGGTGACCTCTGAAACGCATTCATGCAGTGACACACGTTCCTCTTTCTCCCTGAACGGTCCCTCTGTACCCAGAGGCACACAGAAATCGGAAGCATGGCCTCCGGGGCCAGACTGCCTGCCTTGGGATCTTGGCTCCACCACCTCCCAGCTGGTCACCATTTGTTTTCCGGCCTCCCCACGGTTTCCTCAGCCCCTCCCCTCTCCCTCTGTGGCCCCAGCTGCAACTGCCTTCTTTCAGTTTCCTGAAGGAGCAGTCAATGCCCCTTCCCTTCCCCCGCCCTTCGCATATGCTGCCCTGTCCCCAAACAGCTTGAACGCAGCCAACTTCATCCTGTGCTGCTGCTTCGGTTTTATTATACGTGAGCATAGCAGCTCCACTGAGGAGGGGACATTCCGACCAAAGGGCTGCAGGAATATAAAGTCTCCGCTGTGTTTCCAAAGAGATGATGGAGAGTCCTGGCGTGTTTCTGGATTTTCTGAGTACACCCAGCCTAGTTACAGGGACGGCCTTCTCTGAAGTCTCAGCCTCCCCCCCCCGCCGCCCCCCCCGGCTTCTCTCTTTCTCCCTCCCTACCCGCCACCCAAGTCTCAGTCTCTGTCTCTCTGGAGCTGAACCCATCTCCCTAATCAGAACAATCCTTAGAAAGGTCAGTGACCCCGTTCCTCAAGGTTCCCTTACGTTCCATGCTATTCACCACAGATCCTGTCCAGTGGCCCGTAGCTAATTTGGATGAGTGTGAACAGAGGAAAAAAAATCCAGTTTGGGTTTTTGTCTGCTGGACTCATAACTGTTACATTTCTATCTAGCTTTATACTTACAATAGTGATTGACTACTTCCTCTGCAGCCAGGGGCTCCCTGGGACAGAGTCGCTGCCTGTCTCAGCCACGGGCACATGCAGCTGACACGCGCGCTCCGGGACAACACAGACACTTCCTTTAGCACTTCCTTTGATCAAATCAATACGCATGGCAGAATGCTGGGAAAGCTGTTAGATTGGTATAACAATGATCTTGAGGCTGTTTTGAATATATTAAAATTTTGATAAGAACGGGAGGGCATGTGGGTTATTGGATTTTTTTTTTTGTTTGTTTTTTGTTCTTACCTACAGATATGGGAATTTGAGACTGGCCTCCAAATCTACCAGATTTTAGACCCTCATGGCTTCAATGTTGAACTGACTTCTGCAGCTATCAATGAAAGCGGATTTCTTTTTGCCACAGGAGCATATAACGGTCAGACTACTATTCTGCTATGGCCTCCCTGTGTCAGTACTTTGAGGCTTTGTCCTAGGAGCTTATTAGCTGGTTGGGGTTACGGGGAGGGGAGGGGTCCGGGGGAAATGAACACCCAAGCCAGTGAGGCGGCAGCGTCTGCCTGAGGAGTGATAAGCTCTTCTCTAATGGGCCTTAATGTCCCGGCACTGATGTCCAAAGGAATTAGTACCTTCCATTACACTTATAGAATTGCTTTCCGCTTTGCAAAAGTCCTTCACGCCTACAATCTCACTCCATCCTCGGTCCGACTTCATCTGTGTTGCACTGGCTCATTCTGTCCTACTCTTGGGGATCATCAGCTAAGAGGTAGACATTAGATTCGGTGATTGCTGATAATATTTTTATTGACAGTCAGTTTGGGGGCCAGACAAAATATCTGGCCAGCTTTGTCACGTAACTCCCAGAGTTCTCCTTGGGACTTGTTCATGTGTGCGAGCTCCTTGGGGACATGTGCGTGTACACGTGGAAGAACGTCAGGTTCGGGCTGTGCCGTGTTGTTTGATGTTCCTCGTGCTGGGATCATCACAGGGGACTTCCAGGAACTAGGGAACTACAGCCCGCCTCCCCTCTCACTGTCTCTCACTCTGAACTGTGGGAAAGAACCGCTTTATCTAGACCAAATGCATGCACTTTGCAGAATACATTTATTCTGGAGGCCTATTTACTAAATAAATGCAGACTGGTAAGGCAGTCGGTGCCTTGAGTGAACATCCTAATGTAAAAGTCTGATTTTTAAAAGTGTGAGCCGGTAAGGCTGCACATGACATGAAATCGGGACTGCTGAGTTGATGGGGTGGGAATGCATGCAGCTGCTCTCCACGTGGGACAGTTCGTAAGAAAGCGGTCCACTGCTCTTAGCACACCCTGCACAATGTGAGAATTAGCCATCACAGAAATTCTGAGCAATGTGCCCAACTATTATCGGTCATAAGCATTAAGCAGTTCAACGTGACTGAGATGGTACTGTTTTCAGGCAAGCGTAGTATTTCTATTTGTTAGTGCTAGATCTAGAGTTCTTGTAAATATTGACAGTTAAGGGGGCTGAGGCAAAGGGCTGAGGGGGCTGTCTGCTGGATCTAGCCCTGAGGTGACCGCTGTGAAGACCTATAATTCTCTTTACTGAGTATTGACCTCAAACTAGGCAGCCAGCAACTACACTGCTCATCACCATTCCTGGCTCCTTGATCAAGATTCCTTAATTAAAGCAGTGAAGTTAACTCAAAGGAGATTGTAATTTCAAATGCAAAAAGAAGCTCAGCACTCCTTTTGTATTTTTTCCCCATGTAATTAACAAAACAACTCAAAGCTTGATAGTTTCTTATCTGCTGGGATTCTCTGAAACCTTCTCTTACCCAGTGAGAACTAAAGTCCTAAAACATGTCAGCACCTTCAAAACTGTGACTTTACTGCAATGATGATATTTACTGTTAATAATAATTGGTAGATATTGGGGATTACTTAGCAAACTTGAAAACAATGGGAGAATAAAGGCAGAAAAGATCCATTTAAGACACAAAGCGCAGACAGGAGAGCCTGAATTTAAAAAGAAAAAATAAACTATTGCGATTTCAATACATTGTGCTGTCCTGTTTAGTTTTTATCTGCCCTGTGACAAATCAAGGCACACAGAAATAATACTTTGTGCCCAGCAAGGCTGGGGAGACTCACGTCTGTAGGAAATAAATAGAGGATAAATTGTCGGCAGAAAACTTTCAAAGAGATCCATGTTCACTGAGATGAAAGCCAGGCTTGCTACCAATTCTTTTTACCCACCAAGTCTTTCCTGTGTGCTCTCAGGAACAGTTAAAATCTGGGACTTCGACAGCGGGCAGGAGATGAAAACACTGCACAAAGGGAAGGACTGGATGGAGGAAGAGAACGGGGTGAAAAGCCTGGTTTTTCTGAAAGCGCCGGAAAAACAGCAGTCCTTGCTCCTCGTCTTGGAGCGCAGCGGGAAGATCAAAATGATCCAGGTTTGCAGTCCCGCATTGACCTTCATACTCTCCCTGCTCTTCTTGGGAAAATCAACTAAGTGAGTGGGTAACCTCACTGGACTCCTCTCTTGCCAGCCGGTTAAGGATGGCATCTCCCCACCAACCTTCCGACGATGCTCCTAAGTAACCTTGCCCAGGTCCAAGCAAAGAGCACAGAGGGACAGGGAGCAGTGGTTCCTCTCTGTCCCTGAGGGTCCCCAGTGCATGTAGGGGTGCTCAAGTCACTTTTTCAGATTGTCACCGAAATTGCTTTGTTTACGTTTCGGTTAGTGATGCGGTGTGCTCAAGGCTGTGTCGGGAGGTTGGAGGCAGGCTATTTTCTTTCTCCTGTGAGTCTGTTACCACCGAAGAATGCCTTCTTCATATTTCAAGTGAGGGCTAGATCATTTATTCTGCCTATTGAGTGACTCTTTCCCTGCCTAGAACTCAAGGGCTCATTTTCAATCACCACCATCATCATCCGCCTTCTGAACGCTAAGATCAGAGGAAAAAAGAGTTTAGCACAGAGTAAGATGATTGTTGATGGCCCGATTGCTGGGAAAAAAGAAGTGAAAAAATTCCCTGGTTGAGTATACTCTTCCCATAAAGAAATCAGAGAAATCTCTTGTAAGGTGTACAACAAGAAGTGTCCCAGGCAGGAGTGTAGTTCACCCTGGAGTCGGAGCTGGGAGTGGCATGAAGGAAAGAAGCACCTGACCTCTATCTTTCCAGCCTCTCAGCTGCACTAAACGAACCAACAAACAGGCAAACGCTGCCTCTGTGGTCACATTCAGTCATTCAAGGGCTGTTGCTAGTGCGTTAGGTACGGAGGCCGAGTTCCCATAAGTTTTACGTATTTATTTTTAACGCCTACAAACCAGTCCTTAATGGCTTGAAATATACTGTCTCTTCTGCACTTATATCATTGATTTTATTTTTTTCAAGCTTCAGAAAAGTGCTTGTGCAACCGCCTGGTCTTTTTTACAAGTAGCTGAAGTCCTCATTTTACAAATAAGGAAAACAAGACCCAAAGAAGGCATGTACTTTGCTCAGTCTCTCACTAGATCTAAGGCTAGAAATTTGCTGTCTTCACACTTAGACCAATATTCTCTCCACTTTGCCATAGCTGCTTTCAACCTTACAAATTTGGCCTTTATTCCCATATAAAAACTCACAATTCAAAAATTAATAGCATGTCATCAATAATAATCAACTAGGAGATAGAATAAATGATTATATTATAATAGCAAAGGAAATATGAGGCACCTAAAATAAATTCAGCAAACATATGCAAGAGTTTTGGGGAGAAAAGAGTAAAGGACATAGAAAAAACAACATGAAAATATGAAGAGCTGACATTTTCACAGATGGGATATCACAAAATATCTTTGCTACATTCAAGTTAAAAATAATCACCTTTCTTTTTTAAAAAGTGAAAAAACAACAGTAAAGTGTACAAGACAGGAATGTAGTTTACCTGGTTTTAGCAGGTGACATGGTGTCACATGGTGTGAAAAGACCACTCACTTTATCCCAGGTAACTGAGAAAAGAGTAAGAACAAGAATAGCTAAAGAAATCCCACAAACCGAAAAGAAAAACAAATAACCCAAGATGAAAATGGACAAAGGACAGATAAGAAAACCCAAATGTCTCACAAACACATTAAGAAAAAGGTTCACCTCACTAACTCAGAAAATATGATTAATATAATTAATTTTAAAAATAGTTTTGAAATGTCCCATTTCAAACCCATCATATAGGCAAAAAATTAAATCAAGTAAAACCAAGTGTTGGCAAGATCATGAAGAAAGAAAAACTCTTACTACTCCTGGGAGTGGAAATAGATGGCACTCCCTTGAAGAGTCACTTAGTAATATCTAGTAAAGTTGATATGTGCATATCTTACAACTTGATAATTCCGCTCAAGGCATTGCTCTAGAAGCTATAGCAGTTGTTCATAAAAGCAAGGAGCAGAAGCCCTGGCTGGTGTGGCTCATGGGAGCATCATCCCCTAAACTGAAAGGTTACAGGTTTGATTCCTCGTCAGGGCTCATACCCAAGTTGCGGTTTGGACCCCAGTCGGGGTGCGTATGAAGGGCAACCGATCAATGTTTTTCTTTTCCATCAATGTTTCTCCCCCTCCGTCTCTCCCTGTCTTCCCCTCTCTCTAAGATCAATGAGCATGTCCTTGGGTGGTGATTTAAAAAATTTAAAAATTAAAAAAAAAAAAACAAGCACCCAAAAGCTGACCCATCACTAAGGAAAAAATAAATTGTAGTATATTTATACAATTCCTTAAAGCAGTTAAAAATAAATGAACTAGAGCTCTGTGTAGTAACTTGTATAAATCTCAAAAATATAAATTTAAAAAGCAAGCAAGTTGAAGAAGAATCTATACAATTCAATAACATTTATAAAAAGTTTAAAAGCCTGAATGCAATGTTTATATATATGTACATATATATGTAGAATATATGTATTTGTTTATGTAGAAATATTAAAACTTCCATAACTACCACCATATTCAGATTACTAGTTACCACTGGAGAGGGAAGAAGAGAGAGGAATTATATTAGGGAAAGAGAGAGAGAACTTAAGACTTGACAAAAATGGGTGGTAGATATATCATGGTACATTCTATTTTTCTCTGTATCCTTACAACAGCTCAAAATAAAATAGTTAATTGAGTTGTTCATGTACTCACTGGATTTCTGTTAAAGGGTAAAGAAGGTAATGTTTTTCTCTTGGTGACATGGGAGCTGCCTAATGTGGTACCTGTCCTACAAGATGGTAATCGTGTTGTGCACCTGAAGTCACCTGCTAAAGCCAGGAGCATGGCTATTCCTTTCCCAGATGTTTCGCTGATAGTTGAGGAAACCTCTTCTCAACGTATTAATGTGAGTTTCATTTCTTGATTTTCTTCCTTTTTATTCTGGAATATTACAAACACACACAAAAATAGAGAAAATATTATAATGAACTTCAATGTACTATTACTCAGCTTCAACTATAAAATAAAGAAGTCATGAGGATGCAATGTGTAACACGGGATATAGTCAATAACCTCATAATAGCTTTGCACGACAGACGGTTTTCAGGTTTACGGTGATCACAATGTAAGTATATACATGTCAAATCACTACGTTGTACAACTGAAATGAATATACTATTGTGTGACAACTATACTTTAATAAATTTTTTAAAAAAATCATAAGACATTTTAAGTGAATTCTAGAGTAACAAAGTATAATATAGCATTGGACTGTGGTTAGATAGTGTGTTCACAATTGGATTCCATGAGTTGATTTCCTTCCTTCTTCAGGATCCTGCAGTTACTACACGAGTGAACTGCATTGATTTTTTCCAAGTAGAAGGATATAATTTGATAGCTGCTGGAACCTTAAACGGTGTGATCATCTTATGGAATTTTGTAACATCCACTGTCAAAGAAATGTAAGTAGCAGTTTTTCCTTAAACAATATAAGACGTACTACAGAAGAGCCAAAGGAACATTCAATATCCAAACAAACAAATAAGCAAAAGCAATAAATAAAAGTGGTAAATACACTCAAGCGAGGTTTCTTGGAGTTATGAGCATAAAGAGACTACGTTCTAAGTGTCTAAATCCCAGAATAATGTAAATAAGGTGAGCCTTGAATATTTGTCTTCTCAAGTGCTTTAACTTTTACTCTTCTCATTTTAGTATCTGCTTTCACATGCTATCTTATCCAAATTTATAACCTCAACAAATACTTAACATGCATACTAATTTTAAACTCTAATCTCCCCCAGAGCTTCAAACATACATTATCTGGTAATTGCCGCGCATGCCCCAAACTTCATTCCAGTCTACTCCTCTCCCAAAAAACTCCTCTTCCTATATTCCCAGTGACACCACTGTCTACTAAGTCACCACAGTCAAGTGGCAAGAGGCACTCCAGATGGATTTTCCTTCTCATTCCTCACCCCAACACATCTAATTCACTACAGGTCCATACTAGCAAGGGCATGGCATATGCAATTCTAAACCTCAACCAATTAGATTTTCTTTCTACTATGGCCAGAAACTTTATCCTCTCCCTGCCATCCATTTCTAAAAGTTCTTGCCATCAGTTGTAAAGGAAATAATATAACATTGTATTATTTGCTGTGGTTGGATTCCAAATAATAAACAATCCATGTTGTACAATCGGGCTAGAAAGCAAGGGCCATGTGTGAACACCCTATGTCAAAGGAATTTGTAATATTGTACTTTGAGGTACAAGGTGGTCAAGAAACTTGGTGAATGAATAATAATAAAACCAAGTCTATCTGAGCATTTGGAGGAAGGAAAGAGATATAAAGGAAGAGAAAAGAGAATGGGAGAGGACAAGGGAAAAGAAAAAAATGCAAAGGAAATTTCTGCCTCTCTAGTTACAGTGTGTTACATACTACTGGTCTACCTGGACTCTTTGCTCTTTCCAATCTTAGTCTGAGTCTGTCCTTTTCACCAGCTTTTGAGCTACATGGGATATTAGCTCTGCATGGGATATGTAATATAAGTAATGTACATTACCTAATTTTTAAATATTTATTATGTACATGTATGCTTCTTTCCAGATACAGACCTGAAAATTGCCTTACAGAAAATCCTGACTTGGATTCCAAATGCTTTAGAATTAATGACATACTGTTCCTCTTCCGTTCCCCTGAATGTGCAAGGTAACTTTGTACTTTTAGGGAAATGGTTCAGTGTCTACAGAGGATGAAAGAAGAAATCAACTGAAATTAAAGCAGAGCAGAGAAATACAGTTAAGGGGAGACAAATTGGGCAGACAACTTAGTTTCAGCCTTCTTCACTGACCCTGTCTTTCATAGTGGGTGGTCCCCAGGGATCTGACTTGCTGTGTGGAGATCTAATTTCCCTATCTCTGTCAGTCTCACTGCACTCCTTACAACAGTAGCAAAGAGGGAAAATGCTCACTTGACCACACATGTAGCCAACGTCAAACTCGATGGGCACGGATGTGAAGCAGATGGGATATGCAAGGCCACTATGACCAATCACACGGCAGCAAGTGTCACGGGACATCCACTAAAACTGAGCCATCTTCATCCATTTCTGAGAGCAGGTCATTGTTTGTATATCTGAGAAAAGATATTTTCTTCTCTTTATATTTGCATGAGAGCTCTGATTTTTAGTCCGTAGGCCATGATAAACACCTCTGTGCTAGCTTTGGGTCACCCAGTCATGAGCCAGAATATAACAATACCTTCTCTCCCTCTTGGCTGGAAATTTCCTTATTCTGAGAATAATTTGAGGACGTGTTCTGGGTCTGCTTGCACCAGAACCCCAAGGCACATCTCAGCATGTTCCAGAAGCATGGAAGGTCAGGACGAGGCCAGACCTGGACAGGGCAGAGCAGAAGTTGTCAGGCTACTCAGGACCGCCACCAGCACCAGCACCCCGCTCCCACCACATCAGCATCAGAGCCTCTGGAACTACATCTAGCCTTAGCCGCGGGACAGGGCAGAAATTTTAGTTCCCAGACCAGCCAGCAGTGAACCTTGATTCTTGAGGCTCCCCGATAGTCTCCACTCATGCCAGACAAATGAGCCTTTGTTACACGAGATGCCGGGCAAGCTTTGTTTTGTAAGTGAGTGGTTCCGTATCTACAGAGGATGAAAGAAGGAGTCAACTGAAGCTAACATGGAGCAGAGCACCCTTTGAGTACCGTAGACTATCTTAACTTCTCCTCATTGGGCTTCCTCCCTCTCCTTGTAGGCAATCAAGTCAGGATTCCATATGCTCTTCATCCCAACGTGGGTCTAGTAAGGGTCCCCAGAGCAGCAAGGTAAGCAAGGGACAGGGAGAGTGGGTCTTCCTGTGACACCCCATATGGTTGGTCCAAAATAATAATCTGTTGCATTTGAGCTCTTCCTTTGATAGAAAGTAAAGGTGAAAAATTCTCTGTGTATGAGTTTATGTGAAACGTCTGGTTTTTTTCCTTAGAAAGCAATGCCTAAACTGTTTTTCCCTTTTTTCCCTGTTTTTGAAGGCTTTCCTATCTGGAAATAATCAATACATAATCATGAATAAAATAAATCACATATTCTACTTATACATGTGTAAAACAATTTTAGACTAACTCTTTGGATAAAAAGTATTACACACATTCTATGGGGGAAGAGACAACAAAATGTAATGTGTGGTTTTCAAATTGCATTTTTTGTTCCAGCTTTACACATTTACACATTACACTTCTGGTTAGGATTTTGTTTAAAGGGAAGTTTTTGCTGCAAACATTGTTTTAAAACCACTGGCATAGTAGAAAGAATAAACATAAGGATGTAAGAGTCAGACTTTAACTTGAATCCAAATGATTCCCTCATCTGATTAGCTTTACACACAACACTTAATCTCTGACCTTCCATTTCTTCATCAGTAAAAATGGAGTAATAAGCCTAACTTGCGTGGTTGTTAATAGAACTTGGAACACTGTACACCAAGAACATGACAGGCATTAGGCATTTAATTACTCTCGTTATGATGCTAGATTTGAGCCACTAGGGAAATATAGTGTTACAAGTACCCACTTTATCAACGTGAAAATCTCTGCAATACAGATTTCAAAGAATTGCCTCAAAAATAATTTTCATGCTCAGAAATGTATGACCTATCTGAAGAATCTACTGACCCAGTGTATCTCATTTCCTTACAATGTTATAGAAATATCTTCTTTCTCTCCCGTAATTCAGGGAAGCAAACAGAGCATACATGACAGTGAGTCTAAAGGTCAGTATAAAATCACCTCTCTTTCTTGTAATAAAGCGATTCCTTTGCAATAGGAAGTTTAGGTGATAGAACATGAACATATATCCTTTTTGTGACTACATGTTGAGGAGCTATAGGATTCGGCCTCTACAAGGTAGCATTTTCATTATGATGATACCTTTTTAAATACTAATTCTAGGTTTTAGAAACCCAAAATATTACTGAGCTTCTTAATCTCTAGCCATTTTCCTAAAACTTAGACTAGATGCATAAGCCATTCTGTGTGTGCAAGACCTAAACTGGATGCTAATATAATTTCAGCTCTTATGCACAATGAAAAGGCTTTGCAAGAGGACCAAAAATAAGCTCTTTTGGTTTTTCTGGTAGGGCAGGATTCCATTTGTTAATGTTTGTGTTGTTCTCTGCCCTGACTGAAATTCTTCTCTGGGCTTAAAAATGAAAAAATTCTAGGGAAAGAATGTGTCGTTTTCAGTATTTTCTAGTTGTCTCCTGTTTTGCGTTCTATAAAAGTTTAAATTCCAAGTACTGCCAAGACCATGGATGCTCACTAATTTCCCAGCAGGTGAGCAAACAGATGGCGCTGTGGGGGAGCCAAAGCCAGTGGACATAAAACACCCTGGAGGTGCCTGTGTGACGGAGACTCAGCCGCCGCTCCTGGTCACCGCTCATGACGACGGGCACCTGCGCTTATGGACGATAGAGGTGAGGAGGCCCGGCAGCTACCTGGAATAGCAGAAGATGGGAAAGAAGAGGAGGACCAGAAAGTGAACCTTAGCCTTCTATGGTTCCGTATAACATGCAATTTTCATATTTTTTAACCTTCTAGCCAAATTGCTAGCTTTGCAGTCTGCTCCCTGAAAATGCCATTCAAACATTAAAATAGGCCAGTTTTGTAACTCAAGAGATCAAATCATCAAAACCGCCAAGTGAACTATTTCACGTCTTTCTTTTCTTTAAATTGAGCTAGGAGTACATGCAGCTAAATATTTTATTGCATATTTAATTTTAGAGGATGCTAATGATGTATTGTTTTAACATAAGACTACCGAAATGTTGAATATCCCTAAAGTTTTAGTTATCCAAACTATTAGAAGTTATTGCATCGTATTTGGTGTCCTTAGGCATTTCACATGAAAAACAAAACAAAACTTGCATTTACTAGGAGCTTTTGTTATAAATGGCCTGGGGTGGAAGGTGGGTGGACTTTGAGCTGGAGGACAGGGGCTGATGGAAGAGAGGATGCTGAGCAGACTGGTCATGAAAACAGGGAAGTCAGGGAGGCAAGGGCGAGGGTACCACTCCGAAGGCTCCTTTCTAGAGGGAAACCCAGGAAAAAAGCAACGTTTTTGTCGGGGTATGTAGTGGAATCCATCAACACAGGGCAGTGTTGCCATGCTGGATAGAACCTCCAGTCCACAGATCCTGGCTTATTAGGGGAAACTCTTGGTTTGAAAATACAAAATAGTGTAACAATAACTTTCCCTGAGATCATCTTAGCATTGGAGCAACGCCTCTTTTGTTGATAGAGAAATAAGTGAGTGAGAGAATTAGGAGGAAAAAAGATGATATCCAAGCAAATCTCCAGGAATGAGCAGCAGATTCAAATTCTGTCTTCTCAAGTTTGGATATTTATTCTCCAAGCGAGGCGATGCATCTGGAAGTTTCTCCTGACATTGACATACTAAGCGCTGAAAACTGATCTGCTCAATTTAAATCTCTTACAGCCTCTCATCTGGCATGAACATTCAAAACTAGGTATTTCTAAGAAGGCAAACACAATATTCCTGTTTAAAACAAGTGAGATACACTTAAACCCTGAAAAGAATGTTTAAAAGAATATAAAACCGGTTAGAGGAACTGCATGAAAAGTGTCACGAGACGTACAAGAAACAACCCCCAAATGTAGAAATGATCTATAATAGAGTGTAGATGCTTATCATTAATAGTTGTCTTCACCTTTATGAATATTTACTTTCAAGAATATCAGTTCCTATGGAGAGTTTCAAATTACTTTTATTACAAATAGAATCGCGTTTCAGCAGTAGAGATACTGTTTTAGAGAGAGGAACTCAACTCCACTATCTTGTATGACTACTTTATAGAATTTGTTATTACACTTTACGCAGGGAAGGCTGCTGAAAGACATGCTACCTATGACAAGACATCCTGCCATTTCTCTGACCTCACTGTGTACTGATTCCTGCACCAGGATACTACTGACCGGCAATGTCGGTGAGTCATTGCCCTCCTGCAGTTGGCCACAGGTGTCTTAAACTACAAGATATAAAAAGGAATATAGGAAAATGTGTGACATATGTTGATGCAAAAGAATAAGAGGGATGCTCAAGCCTGAGGGAGTGTTGGGAGGGTTGTGAATAGCTTGCTGAATAAATAGAAATATGAATGATGTGAAAAGAACCTGTCTTCCTTTTCATTTTCTGGATTCAATTTGGTAATATTTATTATGGTTACTAATATTTAATTCTGTACATTTATTTCGTTTTAATGTTGATGCATTTTACAATGCACTACATGCTTACTTTTTAATTCCTAAAATTGTAGTTACTATTCATTGCTTTTTTCCCCCCGCTGTCTCCCTGCTCCCATGAAAATAACCTATTTTCTTCCTAGCTCTTCCCTTACAGCGAAACACTCTTTCTTCCATCTTTAAGTTGGGTATAGGACTACCCATACCTTACATATTGGGAAGAATGTAAAGTTTTCATTTTTAATCTTGAAAGGGTTGTGTTGTGTTAACCTTCATCCTTAAAGGGATTGGTGGCATGAACAGAGAGGAAAGGAATTATTGTTTTCAAAAGGAGACTTTATTTTATATTTATTGTTTTAACTCACATAGTTGGTCTTAATCCTTTCATGTATGCTATTCTTTTTTGGATGCTTCCTTTCTATTTTCTTTCTTCTGCTATTTGAATTAATTGCAAATTTCTCTCACTTCCTCTCTCCCATGTGTTTACAGATTATGTATATGTAAATGTACATGAATGCATACATACAGTTTTTAATTTTACCAGTGCTTACCTTTAAATTTTTTCTAAAAAAAAATTAACCAATTTTCTAGAATTTAGACTGAAATAGCACCCGTGCAGTTAAACAAAAAGCTTAATCCACTTTGCCTTTCTCTTTTTTCTGCACACCCCCTACTTATCATTTGCTAATGTAATCTTGAGATTTGCATTCAGATACTGCTATTACATTAATATTTAAATTTTATATCTTTTCTCTTAGGAACTTTTTTTATTTCAAAAGTTTTTTATGAAAGTCACAACAAACCATTTTTATATCAACAATTATTTGAATCTTCTGGAAATTATAGAAATTGTATTTGCATTCAATAGTATCAGGAGATTTACAACATTTACTTAAGGTTATCTTTATTTTATCTGGTTTTATTACCCACTACCAACCCTTTTATAGTTTGATATTCTTATTCTTGACTTCTTACATTTATTTATCCATCAATCTCCATAGTTTATATAACACCATTTCTGGTCATAGCAGAATAGTAGGGAAACCTAAGATCAGGAAAATTTTGTTCTTTTGTTAAAATAGCTTCTAGTTGTTGTAACTATCATTTGGATTGTAGGATGATTATCTCCATAACAGTTCAGGCTCCATTTGGTCATGGTGTATTCATTTTTTTTCCATCTACCCTGATGTCTTGAAGAACTTTGATTTTGAGTGTCTAAGGCAACCTCATTATGACTTACTTAGCCAGATACAAAAAAGAATCTCTACTTTTTTAAAAAAGTTGATATGAAATGTCTTCTTTCATTTCTGGTTTCTCTGATTTTATTTACCATTATAAATGCCTGAATCACAATATTTTAGCAGTCTGGGTAGTATTTACTTAGACAACAGAATACCCAATTAAATATTACAATGTTTAAATTTTATACAGAAGGACATGTTATCCTTTGCAGTATTGGTTCCTTCCTGGATCCACCTCATGATGAAAAGGTAAGAACTTTAATTTTACTTTAATTAGGGAATCTGTGCATATTTATTGAGCATTTCCCTGTGCTAGACATCACAAAGAAGATAGAAATACAAGATAAGGCTCTCTATTCTCTAGCTGTATATACTATGACTGAAACTTACCCTGCATGACAAATAACAATGGTCCACTGGTGGAAAGGAGATGAGTGAATGAGTGGGCCAGCCACTGGTCACTTTGCATCTACTTCATGTTGTGACTTATTTGTGAGAATCTATGTGGAAACCCAGAGCTTTAGAGAATTCATACATCATCTAGTCCTCCACAGTCAGTTTTTATATCTTATATACCTTCATAGAAAAATTCCATAAAACCATTCTTGCAAGCCTAACCTTGTGTTCAACTATTATTATTTTCAGAAACTCTTTCTCACATCTAGTCTAAACTCTTCTTATAATTCAAACATACATATTCTATTTTTAGTGTTAATATAATGTAAATGTCAACATTTCCTTATTTTATAACCATATAAATATGCACTTCTATGTATTTGGATATACAAATATATGCATATATTATAAAGACTTAAAACTAATTAAGGAGTACAGCAAGGAAGCACCATTTTAGCATAGGTTTATTTTCCTTTAAGCTAGCACTTCAAATCCAAAAGCTAAATGTTAACTTAAATAGTAATGTTTTATTTTTGAATTATAGGTGGCAATAGAGTTAGAATTGGATTCTTTGCATAGCATTTTTACAACATTATTGTTTAGAATATAATATCATTTTATCTATGGTGGATTTTGTCATTGTTGTTTCCAAGAATTCATGATCATCTTTATGACATTCAGGCATTTAGCTTTCGTGGGATTATCTCGACTTTGCAGAGAAGTTGGAGAGTGGCTTCCCTGTGATGGCCTGGACGGTTACTGATGGGTCAGGGTCAGAACCAGAGCTCTTGTCCCCTAACCCAATCCTCTCGCCATGTGTACTCGGAGCTCCGAGTCCTGGTACCGAATGGAAAACAATAAGGTTCAACTTATGAAGCACAGCGTTTCATTCATCAACAGCTATAAATGTCCTATGACCAAGGCATGCTATGAGCTGAGCCGTGCGTAGGCAGAAGATTATTAAATGGTTTTCTCCTATTTGTGATGATTATCAATAGTCTATTATTAATTTTGACAGGAAAAATAGGATTTTTGCAAATGGATTTTCTATAAACTAGGAACCAAGACCCTTCAAAATTCAGACAAAATATTTCAAACAAAGTTTTATGCTAATATTGAATTTGAAGAATAATGGAATTGATTTTAAAGCATTTCTACCAATTTAAATGAAGAGAATTTATTTTATTACCTTATTATGTTTCCCCATTCAACCTCATTTCAATCTTTTCTGTATTTGAACAATGTGATTTTCCAATGTTTACATGACTATTTATAAAAATACAACAGAATCTGGTTATAAGATGCCTCATTATTACAAAAACTAATATATGTCATACATTAAATCAGATTTAGTTATAGATCACAACTACAATGAAAACTTAATATGTAAGTCTATAAATCAGAGGTTAATCTAGTTCTCTTGAACCATTATGTTACAAAGACACTCCATGGGGTACAGATATTCTAAGAGATGGAATAGTGAAAATCTGTCCACAGAAATAAAATCATAAATATGTTGTATAAACATGCATACAAATAAATCTTAGAGCAGTGTCTTTCTAATTATAAGTTATAACCCACTAGGGGTTTATAAAATCAATTTAATGAGTGGAAAACAGTAGTATTTTCATAAAAACAGAAAAAAATAAAGTGGAATTAAATGCAATGGCATAGACTAGACAGTATCAGTGTGAATTACCCATAATAAGGTTAAGTATCCTTTTGTGAAAGATACTGAAATTCACTTCAGATGCATGTACAGGTATGTGTTTCCTGTGTCATGAAGGAAAATGTATTTCTTACTATAGATGTGGTTCATATTAGAGAAACGCTGGCCTTAAAAGTCCCCATCAAGGCAGGGAAGGGGCCCTTGGGTGACCAGATGTTCTTAAACAGCTTGCAGACAACAAGAAGTAGGAGACTACAGATTTCAGCCTGGATCTCTAAGCGGAACCACAGGGAATTAAATCAGAAGGCCAAGTAATTCCAGAGGAATTGAGCCCAACCTTTCTTAACATGTAAACGATGGGAGCTCCATAGGAGACCTCTAAGCTGCCAAATGCTCCTAAGTAGAGGACCCAGGAAGAAGTAAGGTCTTAGTCTGTGTTCATCAATGACAGAAGGAACGTACTCTATGAAAATGTGCCTGCAGAGCAAGCGTCACTCCTCAGTTGACACTCAAGTTCACACAATTTAGAATGGCTTCCGTGGCCCATTTAGAGCTCTAGACTTGAGAATAAACCGCACCCTGAAGGCATGTGCCAATCAAGCATCATGATGTCTTTGAAAAAGAATGAGCTGGGCAAATTTCTTTTGTTAATTCCTTGGGGAATGTAGTTATTATACATAGCCCATCCCCACCCCCACCCCCCAAAAAAGAAAAAAAAGGAACAAAATAGCCAAGGCTATATCTGGATAAAATTTGGAAATAGACAAATTTTGCCAATCTCCTCTTCAGTCTCCACCTTTCAACTGTGCTACCTCCAGCTCCTGATTATATTCACTCTGGGTTCCCCCACAACCTTTAGCATAAGGCTATTCTATTTTTTCATCTAGTCTGCCAATAATTTTCAACTAAATGAATTGCTAATCCTCAATTAAATAAGCAGCTAAATGCATAAGGTACTTTCTCTTTCAGGGATCTGTGTAGATTAATAAATATCTAAAAATGGAATTTTGGGGCCATGACTGGTGTGGCTCAGTTGTTTGGAGCATTGTCTCATAACTGATAGATTGCAGGTTTGATTCCAGTCAGCACACATACCTAGGTTGTGGGTTTGATACCTGGTCCTGGTGTGTACGGTCCCTGGTCTAGGCGTGTATGGAAGGCAACCAGTCCACGTTCCTCTCTCACATCAATATTTCTCTTTCTCTTCCTCTCTCTCTCCCTTCCTCTCTCTCTAAAAGCAATGAAAAAAATATCCTCAGGTAAGGATAAATAATAATAATAATAATAATAATAATAATAATAATAATAATAATAATGGAATTTTTGGTACCTTAAAAGCAAGACAGAGCTAATTGGTGTAGGGACATCATCATCTTCCACATATCCCCACACCGTCCGCCTATAAGGTGGGCTCTTTAATGATTCATAGTTTTGCTAAAGATTGAATTTTGATCATACATACTTATTCCAAGATATATGCTTTATTTTGCCCTCTAGAAATTCAAACAGCTGCTTGCGTGGCGTGCTCATTCCTTAGAAATCCGTCAAGTAATCTATGTAGAAGACAAACAAGTGGTGCTAACTGCCTCCATCGATGGCTCAGTAAGGTAGGGACTTTCACACTGTGACTTCAGGGTTTTGAGTGTGGGAGGAAAAGATATTAAGTTACAGTTTAAGGACATAGCCTACGTGCAATCTTGATTAACTGAGTAAAATAAATAAGTAAACGTGGCACAAAACGGCTTTGAGAAGATGGCCATTGACTTGGAATTGTTTTCCCTGTCCAAGGAAGTAAGATACCATGCTCATTTATCTTAGAAAGACTAAATACTTTCAGTGAGTGTTTTTGTAGACTTATTTCAAGGAATTAAGCAAGACGGCTAGCTCAAAGAGATAAGCCCAAGCCCAGGGAAGACCACAGGATTAGCAGTCATTAAAAAAATCATAGGAAAGGAAAATGAATATTGAGAAAATTTTAAGTGACCTCATTGGTTCAATGACAATGGGATTGATTTTGCAAAACCGACTTTATTTTCTTTCATGGTTGCCTCGCCTGATTCAGAAGGGTCAGCACAGGGCTGCAATTGGAGCGGACGGAAATGGTTTACGCTAGGACTGTGGTCAATTGCATTCTCTAGAGGGTATCCCTTCAGGACTAGCTTCCTTTTTTCTTAAGGTATAATTGGCAAGTAACATTAGTTACAGGTGTACAACAGAAAGATTTGATATTTGTATATATTGTGAAATGATCACCACAATAAGTATAGTTAACATCAGGTCTAGTTGACATCCATCACCATACATAGTTACCAAAAATTTTTCTTGTGATGAAGACTTTGAAGACCTAATCTCTTAGCAACTTTCAAATATGCAATATAGTATTATTAACTGTAGTCACCAAGTATAGCCTACTTGTTTTTAATTGCCTAGATAATGCTAAATATACATGCACAAAATACTAAAAACACAAATATATAAATATGAATAGAAATGTCATGACATTTATTGAGACAAATTGCTGCATATTAAAATGTCTTAAAATTATGGTAATGAATTATCCTCTTACGGGAAGAAAGTTCGGTAACATCGAAAGAGATAGAGAGGCTTCAAAGTATATTAGAGAGTTTAAAATAAATTAAAGAATTTATAACTATTACCACTTGAAGTCAAGGGAAACAAAAACAAAAATAAACAAATGGGACTACATCAATCTACACAACACAATATACAGATGATGTATTATAGAATTGTATACTTGAAACCTATATAATTTTATTACCCAATGCCACCCCAGTTAATTCAGTAAAAATAAAATTAAAAATAAATTTAAAAACTTTTGCACAGCAAAGAAAATTATCAACAAAACAAAAAGGTAACTAACTGAATGGGACCGATATTGAAGTATAATGTTGTATACCTGAAATTTATATAATGTTGTTAGCCAATGTTACCTCAATTAAAAATTAATTAATTTTAAAAATAAAGAATTTAACAAAAAAAATAATGCATGGGGAATGGATTTTAGAGCAGCAAAAGTAGGGGTGCAGAAACCTGTTAGGTGTCTGTGGTGAGTATCTATCTTGGCTTGGGCAAGGGGAGAGGCAGCAGCGCCACAGATAAATATTTTGGATTGGGGAACCATCTAGAATGTGAGATCCTGATGTGAACTTTAACTGAAAGAGAGGGTAAGCGATAGATGGTAAGAGTGACTCCTGGCATATACAATTAGCCATTTTCTGAAAGAGGAGTCACTAAAAGAGGAAAATATTTAGAATGTGAAAGGATGGAGAACTTATAGAAATGTTGGGTTCAAGATCAATCTGTGGGGATAAGTTCTTCTTTTGGGGCCAACAGAACTGCTTCCTCTGTAAGAATGAGGAAAAATTAAGAACATGACATTACATAATTATAGATGGTTGTCACAACTCCGTCCCTTGAGTCTCTGCTCCAGCTTATTTTCAGCTGCTTGACCTCTGAAGTATTAATTGGCGATTGTAATACACACACATGTACACGTATACATCACATGTGTGTGCACACCTCTGTTGTTACAAGCAGCCCCTGCTCAAACCAGTTACCCTTGACATGGAGAAACTACTTTTATGATTCTTACACATGGAGATCTTCCTAGATAGTTGTAAAAACCAAGCTCTATTAATAGTTATCTCAGAATAACTGCTCTTCATAACCAAGCCACATCCTTTTGCCAATAGGAGCTGCCGCTTTCTAAAGGAGTAAGCAGTTCTAACACTGCAAATGTGTTTGTCAAAAAGATTATAATTTTATAATAGGAGAAAGCATGACAAGGTTTCACTCCAGGACACAGGGTAGAAAGGGCTGAGGGTTAGTAGCAGAGGCCAAGGACATCAGGCTGAGCAGTAGGATCAGTCACCTCAGAACACTGTCGGGTGTGGGGTGCCCTGACTGGGTACCTCTCCTGCAGTGGCTTCCGCTTGAATCCGGGCTACCACTTGGACTGGGTGGAACCTCCTGTTAGGTCATTTAGCTTATCTTTTTCCCCGGGTCATTGCCTCAGGCATAGGATGATTGTTCCTATCATTTGCTGCTCTGAAGTTGAAGTCAGCATAAAAGGAAGATCTTCCAAATACTATTTTACCTTTCCATTAGACACAGGGCATCTGCTCCTGCTAATAACATTCTGTACGCTTTAAACCAGCGATTATCAACCTCTTTCATCTCATGGCACACATAAACTAATTACTAAAATTCTGCAGTACACTGAAAAATATGTTTTTGCCAACCTGACAAAAAGAATGGGTACAATTTTGATTTATTTATACTGGATGGCTATTGTTGCATTGGCTGCTATTTTTTAATTTGACAGTCTGAGGGAAAAGAGGTCAGTGCCCCTGACTAAATAGTCAGGCAGTGCATGTTTTAAAAATTCTTGCAGCAAAGTGATGGAAAATTGCTGCTTTAAACCATGTGGACTATTGAGAGGGACCTTTTGGAGTGAACTGATGGTGGAATAGTGCCTATGGATGAAGAACCAGTTCTTTTGCCATCCTATTTCAGAACTCGGTTGTAAAAATTAGTATGGTGTTTCCACAATGGTAAGAATCATGGATGGATGTTGAGAGTGTTTTGGTCATAGTAAAAGCGTCAGTGGGTCTCTCTTCCCCCAGGTTCTACTGATGCTGATGCAGAAAGTAGACAGCTGAGACACAGCCCAGTCAAGACATAATTTAACTAAATCCGCTGTCAGTCCTCCTGAGTTGTGATGAGCTTAAACGAGCAGTGTTATACCGGGGGAGATCGCTTCCTTATTTTCTAGCTTTAATGAGAGGATATCAATACAGATGCAAACGGACATTTCCCAAAATTGTTGTAGATTAGAATTCTAACTGATAATATGTTAATGTTTGATTAGCTCCATATATTTACTAGGGAGAGTCCTAGACTCAAGTTTAAAATCCCTGATGAACCAATAAAAATCTGATCCTTAACAGAATTCCAGTTAGTTTATTCTTCCTACTTTTGCCTTTCCTCAGGCTCTGGCACGCCTTCGATGGTCATTACTGCGGGTATTTTGGACAGCAAAGGGCCTTTGACCTATTGCAGACAAGTGATTTCATTTTGCCTTGTGATGTTAATGAGTATCCCATAGAAATAAAGGAAGAAAGCAAGTTCACAGAGAATAAACAAAAATACAGATATCCTCTGGTATTTGACCGGCAAAGGTAAGACCACTGGGTGTCCTTTAGAGAGCAGACAAGAATTAAACTATTATGTACTGTCACACTGTGCTGGACATGGGGAATTCAGAGGTGAAAAACTCAAAACTTTTCAATAATTTTGCAATCTAGTAGAAGGGTGCGCAAAAATCTATAATTTAGCATAATAGTACTGCTGAGAATATTAATTCTTAAGATAACCCCACAGGTGGAAACAAGACTTATCCAGACAAAGAAGACCAAAGAGGCAATTTCCTAAGCAAAGGCACAAAACAGTGAGCGAGTTGGGAGGACGTGGTAGAAGATAAAGCAAGAAAAGTCTATAAATACTAAAGCAAAATGAGCTTTTCTAATGGGACAACATAAGGATTTTAAACTTAACTGATGTCACTGTGACAGAATGCACAGGAGGAAAAGAGGTCTGAGGAAAACAGCAGTGTAAACAACTGTCTAACCACTGAGCTGTACGTCTGAAACCGAACAAAAGAAAATTGAAAGAAAAAACAAAAAGACAATGAGTTTAGTTTTGGACAGGTTGAAGTCTCAGATGCTCATGGGGGTAGTTATTGTTTTTAAATGTTTTTAATGCTTTGTTATGGCTTTTACATATGCATAAGTAAGTTTTAACATTAGCAGAAGCTTCCCTGAGTCATAGAAATAGCAAGCATTGGTTTTGCACCCTCGGTTCCTCATCCCTACCATACAGTATTTTATTCCCAGTGGCTATTCATGAATTGAACTACATAGAAAGTTCAGGCCTAGTAGAAATCTCTCATTTACCTGAAGGGAAATCTGGGAAAACCAATGGAATAAGGCAAGTGCAGACTTAAGTCAGGGCACTATCAGGGCTGGTGCCATGGGACCCAAAGAATTTGGGGACCCAGGTAAAGAAAAATAGAATGAGTATTTGTTTAGTAGGCAGAGAATACAACGTGTGGGTATGTACTTCACAGTGTTTCTTGTATATTTATATGCAGATGGCAGAAAATGAGCTCAATGTCTTTGCTTTTCAAACGTACACCTCCCAAGGCCTTTGAAGTGGAATGTGATTTTAAGTTTTTCAAGTCTCTTTCTTCCCCCAAGGTAACTTTTATAAAAACAAACAAAAATACCTTACTTTCATTTTCCTGAATTTAGATATGTACAGTGTTTTTGTTTTCTATTGCTGCAGTTGCAAATTACTATGCACTAAGTGGTTTGAACAACAGACATGTATCACTTTGCTGTTCTGTAGGTCAAAAGTTTGACCTGGCTCTCACTGGGCTAAAATTAAAGTATCACCAGTGCTGTGTTCCTTTTCTGGAGGCTCTGGGGAGAATATCACTTTTCGCAGTTTGTGGCCCCCTTCCCCCATCTTCAAAGCCAAAATGCTGCATCTCTCTGACCAGTCTTCTGTGGTCACATGACTCAGGAAAGGTCCTCTGCATTTATGGGATCCTGTGATGAGATGGGGCCCACCTGAAGAGGGCGCAGGAGTGAATGGAAGTCACACTGACCTCCTCCCAGGACCAATCTGGAATTACAACTAAATTGTGGAGAAATCACCTGGCACAAACAACTGAACAATAGCAAGGGAGGAGCCTTATAACCTCGGACAGACAGAAGAATCAGCTTTAGTGCAATCTAACTGTTAAGGAGTGCAGTACAGACCTGAGAAGGCGGGCAGGGTACCCACAGGAGGGAGCACCAGATGGATATTGAAACGGCCAGTTGGATCCCCCTGAGAAGAGTGGGGTCTAAACCATAAGAGGGGATCTCCAGCCTACAGCCCCCGAGCCCAAAAGGACACAGATAACAGCAGCTGCGAAAAGTGGCAGGGTTGCTCCCTGCCAGAGACAGGAGGCTGGAGGCACAAAGAGCCATTTAAAGGGCCAACACATACATTTTTATTTATAGCCACTTACCCTGGTCTCCGGCAAAGGCGGGGGCAAAGTAGGCTAGACACACCTGAGGAGAGACTGGGGAAGGAGTCTTTGGGGAGAGAACTGAGAGAGTAGCTGGCGGGATCCCGGTGCTGAGTCATCCCCCATATGGCTGCAGCCATCTTACTAAGGCAGACCACACCCCTGAGCCTCAATAGCATGAGAGAACACCATAGCCCCGCCCCCAGGAGGGACTCTGCCCTGGCTTGGTGGTACTAAAACCTGATTGCTGAGTGCAGAGTGACTAGATTAACAGCTGAAGGAGACAGCCTCAGACAGTGGATTCCTGGAAGTCTCGAACAGACTGCCTAAGGTCAGGCAGGGTCAACATCTGACATCATCAGAGGCAGATCCAAAAAGAAAAAAACAGCAGTCTCCTACAATAGAAGTTCATACCACGAAGTCAGGAAATCAAGACAGATCAACTTAAGAAGCAGAAGCAAAAAAGAAGAGTCTCACAAATAATAGGAAGACAAAGAAACACCTCCCAATCGAAGGGAAAGGAGGAATCCCCAGAAAGAGAGCTAAATGAAATAGAGGCAAGTAAACTATTGGATATTGAGTTCCAAAGAATGCTTCTAAGAAAGCTCAGTGAGCTCAGTGAGCTCAGAGAGAATTACCAAAAACTACAGGGAAACTAGGAGGAACTTACTGCAAACTATATCAGCCTGAAAAAGAACATAGAAACTATCAACAAGAGGCAAGAGGAAATGAAGAATACAATTTCTGAATTGAAGAACACAGTAGAAGGAATCAAAAGTAGGCAAGATGAAACAGAGGATCGAATCAGTGAGCTGGAAGATAAGGTAGAAAATAATCTCCCAGAAAGAGCAAAGAAATGAAAAAAGACTCAAAAAGAATGAAGAGGCATTTAGGGAAGTTCAGAACAACCTAAAACGTAATAATATCCATATCATAGGGATACCAGAAGGAGAAGAGGAGGAACAGCTAAAGAACCTGTTTGAAAAAGGAATGATGGAAAACTTCCCTAACTGGAGGAGTGAAAAAGTCACACTGTCCAGGAAGCAGAGAGGGTCCCATTCAAGAGGAACCCAATGAGGCCCACTCCAAGACACATCATCATTAAAATGGCAAATATCAAAGACAAACAGAGAATCCTAAAGGTAGCAATGGAGAAAAAGATAGTAACATATAAGGGAGCCCTGGTAGGGCTAGCAGCTGACTTCTCAACAGAAACACTACAAACCAGAAGGGAATGGCAAGAAATATTCCAAGGAATGAAAAAGCAAAAGCCTGTAACCAAGACTGCTCTACCCAGCAAGGCTCTCAATTAAAATGGAAGGCGAAATAAGGAGTTTCCCAGACAAAAGTAGGCTAAAAGAATACACCTCCACCAAACCAACATTGTAAGATATGCTAAAGAGACTGCTTTAAGATGAAGAAAAAGAGTCTATGAATACCCAGTTCCTTTCACAGTCACCAATACTTGATATTACCGATATTTTTAATACATATCAATCTGATTGTGACAATGATGTGTTATTTTCACTGTTACTTTATTATCTGTTGAAACTAAATCTGTTGTATATTTCTTGCCTATTTCAATTATTTCTATTATTTTTAAAAAGCTTTAAGTGACTTTCTGGTATTCTTTATCTATTTTTTGATTAAATATTTGTAGAATTTTTTCCCTACAAAACAAATGATTAACCCTTTTTTTTAAATGTGTTGGAAATACTTTCCTATATTACTTGTTTTTTAACTTTTTTATATGTATATTACTGTATAGTCTTAAATGTTTAATATAGTCATATTGTCAATATTTTACTTGATAGCTTCTGGGTTTGAATATTTTACTTCAGGGTAAGAAATATATTATTTTGTATTTTCTCTGAAAACTCCTTAGATTTTACAAATGGGTTTTTAACTCACCTGAATATTTTTTGTATAATGTATGAAAAGGGCTCTATATTTGTTTTATTTCAAGTAACAGTTGTCCATGCACCTTATTTGTTTAATAAGCCTTATTATCTCCCGTGATGTGAAATATCAATTTAATCATATATTATGTTGTTAGACAGATTCATATGTTTGTTCTAGAATGCTCATTTTATTTCGTTGATCTACTTGATTATTTCTGTGCTGATGTCATGTTGTTTTAATTGCTGAGGCTTTAAATGGACTTAAATTTTTTAATATTTTATCGTGGATTTTGACATTTAAAAAATAAATAAAAATCAATCTGCATTAAAAAAAAGAAAAAAAGAATCAAAATCAAGGGCAACATATAAGATATCATCTAGTCTGTCCACACGAGTACTATATAAATTATCTCTGATTAATGTTATGGTGAAGGAAATAAGATGAGGTATTAATCATTGACCTATTTTGTTAAAGGGGCATTCCAAAAAAAAAAAGAGAGAGAGGGCCCACCTGGATAATCCGTCTTGAAGTTCTTAACCTTAACCTGCAGAGTCAGTTTTGCCAAGTGAAGCAGTATATTCACAAACTGGGGCTGGGGGGAAGAGGACATGGACGTCTTTGGTTGCCGTTATTTTGCTCACCAAAGATAATAAGAAATATTTTTTAAAAGTCATTTAACTGAAACATAAATTTGGGGAAATCTCTAGAAAGGTCTTAAAGCTCTTAAAACAGTCAAGTGCCCCAAAGACCACAAGGCTTATCCTCGTCTTACTACACTTTCATTTTCTCAGTTGCTTGGTAAAATAAAGGTTTAACGCTAGTGTTGAGTTAAAATACCTTGCAGTTAGGAATCCCTGCTTTTTACCAGCAATCTTGTTTGCCCATTCCTTTTCATTATAAATTATGTATTGTTTCTTTATTCACTTCTCTGCTTTCTTTCTGATATATTATTAGCAATACTACAATGATAATCAATCTTCCATTTAAGAAGCACCTTCCTGTATACATTATCTTATTTGATCCTTGCTGATGTTGAACAGAGCAAAAACTTGCCTAAGGTCATGCAGCTACTAAGTGACAGAGTCAGAATTTGAACCCAGGAAATTTGCCACTCAGAGAATGTTCCCTTTTCACTAAACATTCGCTCCTTTGTTTTGCAGATTCGAAAACAGGCCTTGGAAGGCTTCCTGACTGAAAACAGAGAGGCAGGGATTGTTTTTGGCTCTCTGCCCATATATAGGGTGAGTCAACCATTTCTAGGGCTAGAGCCGTTACAGAACAATAGGGCATCTGAGAGCCCAGTCCTGACCCTGGGCTACCAAGCCAGGTTGGAGAATACTGCACAACCAAGCTGACTGATGCTTCCATATACATGCACGACTGACCCCAGAGGAGTATTCGGTTCTGTGTGTCAACGGCCTTGATCACTTGTCACTGGTATTCCAGATGAACAACACTACAGGAAACTGTTTTGAATTTCACTCTGGCTCTTTATTACCTACAGGATAAAATCCGAATGCTTTTAGCCCGGCCTACAACCCTTTCACTACCTTGCCTTGGCCTGAACTGTGTGGCCTCATTTCTACCACATTCTCCATGTACCTGATACTTGAGCCATGCCAAACCATTTGCTGTTCCTTAAGCATCACTACCCTTTCCTCTTCGGCGACTTTATCTGTGCTGCTTCTCTGCCCAGAATTCACCCACCCCTTGTTTCCCTCCAGATCCTTACTCATCCTTCAAGTCTCCTTTCCAGATAACCTCTGTTAAATTAAAGAACTAATTGATTAATCAAGGATAAGACACTAAAGGTGAAATATTTCAACTTAATTTTAACTTACTATTTCTTAAAATGTTACTTCTACCACAAAACACCTTCATTGTAACAGGTATTAAAGACCTAAGCTACAGATGATGCCAAGGATGAACTATTAAGAATTAATAGCGGGCAACTGTGAAGGGAAGGGTGTATTTTGAAGCGGCTGAAGTTTCTCACTCAGTAACCCCCTCCCCTGAATTAGCATTACAGAGGTAATCGCTTTAGTGTGTCTCACTCTTTATTTACGGCCAACAGGTACAAAGCCCCACGAGTCTAAGGTTCCTTCCACTCATTGGTTCAGAGGCACTAAAGGATTCTTCAGATGGAGCTCCGGGAAAGAAAAAGGGAAGTCACATTCAACATGAAAAAGTAAGTTAGTTTTTACACTTCCATGGTCTATCCCATTTATGTTTGGATTGTTATTGCACCTAAATGAATAACATAACAAACACAACAACAACAACAACAAAAAGCTGCTGTATTTAATTAGTGTACAAAACTTGACCATAATTTTGTTAGTTTATGCTCTTAATGAAAAAATATGAATGAATCCTGTTAATCATCAATTCTACCAATGATTTGAATAGGATTTTTGTCAATGGAAGACTTTTTAATAAAAATAGGATCATTTACTTTTAATTTGTTAAGTAATGGATAAAGCACAGTGGTATAAATAACCCAAAACTAACAAGTAATCAAAAGAGTGCTTGTTTGGGGTTGTATCATTTGTGTATTTTTATGCCCCATATTTGCATTTTGTAACCTTATCTGGCATTAAATATACTTTACATTTTCTAAGTACTGTTCAAGAGAAACAACAGACCCAAAATGGTGTTTGAACTGGGCAAAGTAACTTTTGGACTATATCAAACCAACAATTGCTTGTAAAGCTAATAAAAAATCAGAAATCCTGAGTACGGGGCTGAAAATTTAAAGACATTCTTTCAAATTAGCACCAGAGTATATAGCTAAATAATAACTTAGTTTGTATGTATCTATAGAAATCCCTGCTTTGACTTGTTAGCGCCAATAGAAATTCCTTTCTTCTGTTTTCGTGTTTGTGTAGTTTTCCCTTTCACTTTCCCATAAATACCCCCTGTCTTCACCTTCTAGTAAGAACATGACTTGGGTTTTTGCCCGAATCAGTGCTTCCAGAATAACTATTTTTTTCATCTCTAATAAACACTTGTTGCCTCTCACTTTGGCCTTTTACATTTAGGTTAACAAAACCATAACTGAGTGACATTGCTAATGATAATGGCTAAAATTTATTGAACCAGGTAAAACAGTGTAAAATTCATGCAGCAGGTACAATACTGAACATCTGATAGACACTTTCACTTTATCTTTACAATACTTTCAGGTAGTTACAATCATCCTTCCCATTTCACAAATGAGACAACTGAAGCACAGAGACTAAGTCATTTATCTAAGAGCCCAAAAGAAGTAGGTGATAGAGCTAGGATTTAAACCCAGCAGTTGGATTTCAGAGCCTGTAACTTAGAAGCAGTAATGACTATTGAAGAGTCTTCCCTTCCCATCAGTGTCTGTCGCCTCACCCAGGTTTGTTTTTCTTCCTAGCTTCTGTCACTACCGAGATTCCATGATATAAACATCCTTTTCTTTTTATTGATTCTATCCCACTATCTAAGATCCATGAGGGCAGAAACTTTGACTGATTCTCTACCAGAACTCCAATGTTTAAGACAGACTGACACATAAGTGACACTCAGAGGACATTTGCTGAATGAAGGAATGAGCCAGAAGAAGAGGGGCCCTGGCTGGTGTGGCTCAGTGGATTGAACAACTAGCCTGCAAACTGAAAGGCTGCTGGTTCGATTCCCCATCAGGGTACATGCCTGGGTTGCCGACCAGGTCCCCAGTTGGAGAGAAACTGGAGAGAAACAAAGACAACAGGTCGATGTTTCTCTCACACATTGATGTTTTTCTCCCTCTCTTTCTCCCTCCTTTCCCTTCTCTCTAAAAATAAATAAATAAAGCCTTTTTAAAAAGAAGGAGGAAAAGAAAGAGGAGACTAGAACACTGAAGAAAGATCAGTGCAGCTTAGGAAGTCACTCAGCTGTTTAGCAGATGATCTAGGGAACTAAGTCTTCCATCTTGTCTTAGAGAGAAAGCGGAGCAGTCACATGACCTATGCGTGTCCAAACCTAAGGGATTTTAGGTGGTTAAATTTTGACCTTGGGGCTCGCTCTGTCTTTTTCTTTACCTTATAGCTCTCTACATCTTCTCTTACCTTTATCTTCTTTTTCTCTTTTCCCCACAATAGATCATAAAATCAAATTGATGTGTACTATAAATATTGTCTGAACACTATTGATAATACTAGGCACATTTTGATCTGAGTTTTTAAACCAAATCAGTTTTACATTTTATATTTATGTCTTCCAGAAATATCCAGTTCAAAACTAACTTTCATTTCTCATTTGTGGGGTCATCACTTTATTTTCCTGTAAGTTGCTGGCTTCAGATGATATTATTATATAATATCTCTATGCCTTACAACGGCCTAGCATGCTTCTTTGTCTTGTTTTGTTTTAACCAACCCTTTACAGATTGAGCAGTTGAGTGCCTGAATAAATAACTACCCAGTTAAGCATTTCTAAAGCTTCTACTCTTCCAGCCACACACTTTTGGGGCTCCACCTCCTGTTTTTAACATATTTTACCCTGCAGGCACAGAGGATAGCTAAGTAAATAAATATCTTTTCTTTCTAGGAGGACTACATTTTTGTAAAAATTAGCGATGCAACTTGACTCTAGAAAACAGTGTTTGTCTCGTAAGGCTGACTATTAATTGATACGTCCTTTATTTCACAGACACAGCGGAGGAGAAGTCTGAAAAGAACTTTCGTCCCACATATAAACCTGGCTCCTGCCTTCTTCCCAACCATTCCCAAATAAGAGAGAAAAATCAGAACTGGCTGTCGTGGCCTGAGCTGCACGTGAAATGGCAAGGTCTCAATGATACACCAGCCTTTATTTCAGGATGACAGCGAGGGTCCACAAGACACTGTCCCCTGTATCCTCAGGCCAGCCACCCGAGGGAGAAGATGGCTCACGAAGCTCAGGCGGTCTCACTCTGAACACCAAGCAAGCAGCAAGCAGCCAGGTGGCTAACTTCCTCCACACATTGAAAACTACTTAAGGAATCGGCGATGCTTCTTATTTACAGTCAGCAAAATAACAAAGGAAACAAAGGAAATCAATAGTATAAGTGGATCTAAAATAATACGGTCATCAACAATTAGCTTTCTGCCTTCTCCATTGTTCACCCTGATTCATAGCCAGAACTATCAAAATGTATCCATTAAGAGGCAAATTTGTTGTATGTCATGCTATGTGGTATACAAAAGAATTATTATTAAAAAGAAAAATGTGCCAGTCAAGCTTAGCTATTTGTCTTGTTTATTTAGGAAAAGTGACATATGGAAGAAAATGTTCAGAGTTCTTAGATAAAGTCTGAAGTTATTTACATTTAACCTAGAAGTAACTCCAGATAAATAGATCTTGAATGATTATCTGAACTTCCTAGGGTTTATTGCTTATTAATGCTTTTATTAATTGATTTTGTTATCTTGACCAAATGATTAATTTCACCAGTGGGAACTCATGTAAAAAATAAAAGCATTTAAGTTTGATTAATAATAAATGAGATTTTAAATAAGTCAAAACCATGAAGAAAGTACTAGAATTGCAACCTGCTTATAGGCTGGCCTAGGCCTCTTTGGGAAATGACTCAAAGCTTTGAGTAATGAAAGCATCCCCGTGCCAAACCTTAGCCTACTTTCACCAAAGCACCAGGCCATTTCGTTAAAACAAACAAACAAACAATCAAACACACACACACATACTATGGTCCCTACATTTAATTCTGCCTTTCCATTCTAGGAAGGAGTCTATAGTTCTTAAAATCCCAACAACTTCAGAAAACTAAAGAAATTTTTATTCATATAAATTTTCTTTACACACTTCTGTTTATGTTTATTTCTAGGCATATAGTAATATTTAAAGTGATTTCCCCTAATTTTTTTCTTTTAACTTTGTTCTTCAAGTATTTTAATTACACAAGAAACTAAAGTTCCAAAAGAAAATATTGAATGTTAAGGTTTTTACGATTTTTTAAAAATAATTTGGATAATCTACGCACATGAAAGAAGAAACGTTAGGAAAAAACATTATAGTTATGGAAAATTAGCACTATCTATACCTAAGTAAGCCATAGATTATTTTTTTAATTGAGGTATAATTGACATATAAAATTATGTTACTTTCAGGTGTAAAACATAAGGATTTGATATTAATATATACTGAGAAATGATCACCACAATAAGTCTAATTACCATCCATCACCAGATAGTTACAAGTGTTTTTCCTATGATGAGGACTTATAAGATCTACTCTCTAAGCAACTTTCAAATATGCAGCGCAGTATTATTAGCTATAGTCACCATTCTGTACATTCTGTGTAATGACTTATTTACTTTCTAACTGAAGTTTGTACCTTTTGAACTCCTTCACTCAGTTTGCCCCAGAAAATTCTTTTTAAAAAATTCTAAAAGTAAAAAAGAAAATTTCCAAGGGGTTTATGAAATGATTCCCTTTCCTACCTTTTAATCTCAGCTGTAACAGAAAGTAATTTCACCTCTAGGCATAGATTTCCTAAAACAAGACAATGGTGAATACTCTTCAGTGCGCCCAACTCCTTCAGTGCGCCCAGCTCCTTGAGATCCTACATTACCATTCACCTCCCTTTTTGACTGAGCAACTCTCTCAAACCTCTTTTAACATAAATATACAATTTCTTGATATTTTAGAACTTGAAAAACTTTTCAGTATTTTTGCATATTATGTAACCAAAGATCTTATATCAGTCAGTATACTGGTAAGAATGGCAGTATAACTAATCATGTCATTATGCCTTCTTAGAATCCATACAAGATGTAGAAAATTTTGCCTCTTCCCTTGTGTATCAAATGACAGGCTGATTAAAGAAATAATTTAAGAAAAATCTTGACAAATTAAGAGTATTTTATCACATCGTATTTGGTGTGGTATTAAAGGGTTTACTAGAATAGAGAGCAATGACTTCTGCTTCAGGGAATAGCAGTCCAGGTCAGCTGGGCCAATCACTCCCACTGAGGACAACTAGGACACGTGGACAAGATGCAGAAAACATCCCAGGAAGGCATCTGAGCACCGACAAGATGGCGAACCATGAACGTGCCAGATTCCGGGGGAGGCGTAGGGCTCAAGCAGGTGAGCCCAAGTTTTGAAGCCCATTTCCTCCTCCAGAGAATATGCTGTTTTCGGAAGGGAAGCTAGAGAAGCTAAGAAGCTGAGGTGGTAATTAGGGCCAAGGAGACAGGAAATGGAATCCAGGCTTTGTCAAGCAGTCAGTTTCTCTGACTTCTGATCCAGGCTCCGAAGAACTGCGTCCTAGAAATATGGCTGACACAGAAGCAGACAGATCTTCAGCTGGGGGCTGTAGTCCACGCCCAACTCTTTCAATCCCTGAAATTGCAAGAGCCCTCAGGAGCCTGCGGACGCAAGGGTAACACTGTGGAGAAAGATGACATCAGCTGAGGCCTTAAATTCTATGTCTTTAGTGTTCCAAATGTATGTCTGACCACTATAAAAAATGGCCAAGCACATGAGGAAAAAGAACAAGAATTAGAACTGACACAAAAAAGCAGGAAACAGAAACAAACACCTCTGGGGTTCCAGATACTGGACTTTAAAACGGATAAAGACATTCAAACAACTGTGCTTGCTCTGTTGGAGAAGATAAAACACAACATTTAGAATTTCAGCAGAGAACTAGGCATTGTTGAAGAAGAACTAAGTGGAAATTCTAGAATCAGAAACACAATGGTCTTATCTCTTAAAACCGGGAAACCATCAATAATTCTGGCCTTGCTTCTTCGGGCACGAGAGACCTAACAGAGAGGTCCCACAATAGCCAGCACTGAATGCAAGGCATGTGATGTAGGCTATCCAGACAATCAGTGCCAAGACAACAGGTGAGACCAGAAGAAGTGCCAACCTGAGCCAGCCCAAATTACCCACAAAATCGTGAGCAAATAAATAATTGGTATTTTAAGCCACTTGATATTTTTGGTGATTTCTTAATAACCTAGAGAGAATTTACATATTTATAAAATTAAGTCCTCAAAGCCATGAATATAAATACACCTTTGTATTTATACAGAGATTCTTTCTATTTTCTCTAAAATGTGTTATTGATTTCCTCATTAGACTTCTTTTTCCTCCATCACTTTTTTATGGAAAAAAATCTGAACATTCAGAGAGCTTGAAAGAACTCCATAATGATGACCTATATACACCTACCACCTAGATTCTATAATTAACATGTTATTTGATTTGCTTTATTACATATCCATCTGTTAGCCCATCAATCCATCTTATGTTTTATGCATTTTGAAATTGAAGACATTGATCTCTAAATAAATGCTCTCAATCAAAATCTCCACATTTAAAACAATTTAAGTTGACAAATAGATTCAAAACTTTATTCAAGAATATAAAAAAGGCCAAGCATAACCAGGACACTCTTGAAGAAGGGTAGAAGAGTACAGAACTGCTTGACTATATATCAAGACCTATTAAAAAGCTACAGCAGTTAAGACTGAGTGGTATTGGCATAAGAATAGACAAACAGATCAATGCAAAGGAATAAAAAACACAGAAAGCAACCCTCCCATATCTGGATGTTTGATTTGGTCTTAAGCAGCACTTTACAGAGTATAAAATGTATTATCTTTTCAATAAGTGATCCTGGGAGAATTAAATATCTGTACTAAAAAAAAACAAAACAAAAATGGCTTCTCCCTTACACTGTGCATAGAAATTAATATCATGTGATTGTAATTCTAAGAATGAAAGGGAAAATATAAAGTAATTTTAGAATAAAAAAGGAACTTCTTAATGAGCTGGGGACACAGGAAAAATTCTTAAATAGTATACAAAAAGCACTGAACACAAAGGAAAACATTGGCAAATTGAACTATATTAAAATTTAAAATGCTTGCTCACCAAAGACACTGTTAAAGAAGCGACAAAACAAGCCACAGAATTATAAAGATTTGTACCATGTGTAACAAAGAAAGGATTTCTATCCAGAATATGTGAAGAACTCCAACAAATCAATAAGAAAATTACAGACAACCCAGTAAAACAGACAAGGGACATGAACTGACACTTCCTAACAGAGGACATCCAAACAGTGAATGCATGTGTGAAAACGTGCTCAGTCTCCCAAGTAACTTAGGGTAATGCTCATCAAAACCATATGTGATACCTCTACATAAACCCCAGAATGGCTAGCATTAAATGCACTAACAATGCCAAGTGTTGGCAAATATGTGGAACAGTAAGAACGCATGTACTTGCGGTAGACAGGAAATTGCTTCAACCAGTTTGGAAAACAATGTGGTATTACCTATGAACATAGAAGAGATGCACATCGTATGACAGCAGTTCCTCTCCTAGGTCAGTGTACTTAACAGAAATATGTGCACATGTATACAAAAGGACATGTAAAAGAATGCTCACAGTGTTATCATTGGCAATAGTCCCAAACCGATAGCAACCTGAATGTCCTTCAATGGTATACACTTGAGGATTTGGTCTGTACCTAGTTTATATGGTTGTAGGAGGGTTGAATGAGTTAATATATGGAAAGGGTTCAGTGCCCCACCCATGGGGAGCGCAGTGTGGTATAGCTGCCCAGTAAGATCTGACCTGTCTCATATTTTTGTCCTATAACCATTGCGTTCTAATTGAAAAAACTGGAAAAAAAATCACTTGTCTTTCACTGATAGGCCCGTGTACACTGCACTGCTGGTGAGTAGAGGCTGTGGAAATTGAAGGAGCGAGACACA